CTTTGAGGAGGGAGGATTAGTGTCGGGTCTTTGTAGATAATATAACAATGAGTAAGGTCTTTATGTTTAATAATGAATGGATGGATAGTTCATATTGAGCAAACAATAAAAAGTTAATATCAGGATGATAATAGAAGCAAGATTAATTTTAAAAAATGCATAAAAAAATAAATGGATAAATAAATATTTAATGGTTAACAAATGAACTCCAGTTTTGGTTTCGCTTCTGTAAATTCTAATTGTAAAGTATTAAAAAATGTTGTTTTAATTCACACCTCTGAGTCACAGCTCGGTGTACTCTAAGTCAGGGGTTCTCAACTGGTGAGTTGGGACCCCAAACGTGGGTCACGGAGCGTTTTTCATGTCACGATTGTGTCTGGAAAAATGAGTGTCAGAAAGACTGTGAAGCACTTTTTTTAAATGTTTGTTTAGTACCGTCTAAGGTCCAAATTGCACAATGTTTTATCTAATAAATCTGATTGGTTGAAGAATATCAGAAATTTGGGTTGGCATATTTCATGAAGGAGATGGCCTGGGTGATAATAGTGATGAATAATAGTTCAAAATTACATTGTACAATTATTTTACAGAATAAGCTTTATATTTCAAGTATAAATAACTAAGCTGGACAAACATATTTAAGCTCCACACGCCTCACGTTCTATCTCTTTTTCCCGTCAGATGGTTTTTAGAGTGTTTGTGCAAACTGTTGAACAGAGGAGAACCACTGCTGTAACGGGAGGCCGTCACTGCCCACATCCTCGATCTGCAGCATGGGTCACACATTTATAGCTTGTATCACATTCAGAGGCTGCAGACACACACAGCACCAATTCGAGCCGGCAGCTCTGAGCTGATCCTATCCTGCAGTATATAATGACATGCAGACCATATGATGACAGACTATAGCAGAGGAGACCACATACAGTAACCTTACCTCCTGTCCATCATCATGTAACGCAAAGACCAGCTGTAAATAACACATCACAGTGTGTGTGTGTGGAGGTGCAGCCCAGCGGCTCAATCTTCTGTCCTAAAGATGGTGAGGTGTTTAACAGGAACTGTCCCATTGGTTTGGAACAAACATCAAAGAACTACATGATTACTATGAGAGTTAGAGCTAAAGATGGAGAAAGTAGCAAAACCTCAAAAACAACAAACTTCAGAGGCATGAACAGAAAATATGAGCAAAAGCTGCAATTTCACAGCAGCAACTTTCCCCTGGGACTGAGGACGTTTGGAGGTAGTCGGTGTTTCCACGGGTCACTAAAAGGTTTGGAGACTGAAAATTGTAACAGTGGCTGCACAGTGGTGCAGTCTGTGCTGTTGCCTCACAGCGAGGAGGTTCCTGGTTGGAATCCCTGACAGGAGCCTCTCTGTGTGGAGTTTGCATGTTCTCTCCGGGTACTCCGGCTTCTTCCCACGGTCCAAAAACATGCTCGTTAGGTTAATTGGTGGCCCTAAATTGTCCGTACAGTAGGTGTGAATGTGAGTGTGGCTGGTTGTCTGTCTCAGTCTGTCAGTCCTGTTTAATAACTGGCAAACAGTCCACTCTGTTCTCTGTCAACTATCTGATGCTAACCAGCTATCCTGGGACTTCTGCTAATTGCTACCTGCAGCTAGCTTCTCCTCCCGAGTCAGCCACTTTACAAAGTCCATGCTAAAGGAATGCTTTAGTATGAAAAATATAAATAAGGGGACTCCTCTCAGACAGGTCCAAAGAAAGCACTGGAGCAAGGCAAATTTTCTTTTTCGGTGCAGAGGACAGAAGTTTCCACGCAGACTCAAAGGGCTGAGGAAACAAAGTGTGGTGAAATATTAGTCCTTTAAGGAGTGTAAATTAGTTCGTTATTTTAAAAACTTGGGCCTTGGATTAATTTAGAAAGGCTGAATGAAAAAAGGGGTGGGACTGGATACGTTTTTTCACTTCATCCTTACACCCTTTAGAACGTGGAGGAGTTCAAAAAGAGAAAGAATCGAGACATTACAGAAAGTATGACATCACTGTTGTTTGCTTTGTTTTCATGCATATTTTTTAAAAAACGTTCAAAATAAATAAATAAATTAAAAAATAAAATGAATACACACATGAAGGTTTAGGTAAAATGATGTCAAAGCTAACAGGCATTAAAGGTGAGGGTGAAACTGTGAATTAATCGGTGCACAGTTGATGATCCTGCCCTCTCTGTCTCTGTCTCTGACTCTCGGCTATGTGCTGAGCTCTGCAGCAGGTGGCAGGAGGAGAAGGAGTGTGAGCTCTGAACACGCAGCACAACATGAGCTCAGAAACCAAAGTGGGAAACCAGTTCATATTAAAAGGGCAAGAGTGCCCTCTTGTGACTCAAAGAGAAGACTGTGTAACGCCCTGACATGATGCTGAAGGCTCTGCTCACCAGGATCACTTTCTCTCTCTCCTCAGTCCATGCTGGATTTGATTGACCAAAGGCCTTCTCCTTTTCATCTGCAGTTTGCTGCGGGACTAGTTTATTCCGCCTGTGAACCTGAGCTAGAGAAAGCATCTTCACAGGGTTTGTTTTCCTGCATTGTACTTAAAATAGACTTTCAGAACCTACACGACTCGCTCTGCTGATTTGCTGCTTCTTAACGACCCTTGAGTTGCTGAATTTTAAAACTGAATTTTCCTTGGATACCCCGGGTTTACTGAACGCCCTTTAATACACGCCTAAGATTGAAGTTCTTCCCTCTCTTGCTGAGAAATTTCTATCCGCTTTTATAAAGTAACACATCATAGTATTTAAGGAAAAAGATTTGTTTTTGTGAAAAATGGGATTAAACAAAACCATAAATACTTGACTTGTTTTATGAGCGGCAGATTATATACGATTATTCTTCTTTCTGCTCCTTTTCAGTCAAGAGTTGAGATTTTATGTTTATATTTAATTGCATTGTTTGGTCAAGGAATTGAAGAAACTTAAAAATATTTTTTTTTACTTATCCTATATGCATTTCTTTTTTGTATATATATATATGAGTTCAATTGTTTTTCTTCTTGTTCATGAGGTTTTAATTTAATACGATCTTACTGGTTGTGTTTTGTTTTTGTTTTGTACTGAAAATAACAACACCGAGGGAGTTAAATGGAAGACGTGGGCGCTGTCGTTACTTTGCAGGACACACTCAGAAAATAACGCTGTAGGAGTTCATATTAAGATAATGCACGACTATTTTTAAACGTAATGATGTTCTGTTAACTGTCAGCACAATCAGTGGAACTAAACTTGAACTGTTTGGCACAAATGAAGGCGAAACACGCTCAGACTGCGTTTCTCACGTCTTTAACAGTTTGTAATGTTGTGATGATGATTCATTTAAACCTCTATCGGGTGATAATACTCTAAAGTGCTGTGTTTGTTTTTAAGTTCTGCTCTGGGATTTTACTGAAGAATTTTTAATTTTGGTAGGTGTGACATTTACAGCCTGGAGACTGAATCCATCCCCATAAAGAGCTCCTGGTCCCTTTTTTTAACGAGCCTGTAAATACACACTTAATTTGTTTTCTGTCCGCAGTGAGATTAAAACTTGAGCAGTGGGCGAGAGGTGTGTTTTTAAAAGGCTCTGTTTCATTATTCCACAGTGCACCCCACGGTCAGGGAACAAACAAACTTGTGGAAAAAGAAAGTGTGTGATGTGGAATTGAGACTTGTGTAAAAGGTCGCAGGTTGAGGGCCGGACATTCAAAAATGTTCACTGTTCACAACACCGATCTGAAAACTGAGATTTTTCTCCCCCTGCTAGTGAAATATGTTGTCCACATTTACCAGGCAGTGGGGGTAATAAATTCCGTTGAAGTTACAGCGCTGTAAAGTCAAACCACATCTCCCTGAATTCAGCGGTGGATGGCTGCAGCGAGGCCAACAGGGACCTGGGGAGTTTTTCTCAGCTAGTACCGAGAGACTCGCTGTGTGGGACACTGTGGTCACAACCAGGTGGTCCCTGTTTTTTTTTTAAACCCAGCACCATGCACTGCAAAAAAAAACCCATCTATAAAAGGCGTTCAAATAGGTTAAATATTAAGTTGAATCAGCAACAAACTGTTTTTTTTTTTTAACTTGGTAAAGGTCACATGTTCACTTCACCATGTTTCTCTAACACTAATTTGTGTCACTAGTCCGTCTGCAAACCCCCCAATGATGAGAAAAGGCCCACTTTTCAGAAAATGTGTGCTCAAACTGGCCGTTCGGATTTTCCCTTTGTGACATCACAAAGGGCAGTAACCCCTCCCCCAGGTGGGTGACACTCCCACAGCTAGGTGTTTGCTCTGAGTCTGCCTTCTCTCCGTAAACAATAGGACATGGAGCGAGAAAGCCCGAGACACCCAAGCCCTTCCAGAGAGGGGGCGTGGTCAAACACAGCTAATTTACATTTAAAGGTACAGACACAGAAACAGCCTGTTCTGAGCAGGGCTGAAACAGAGGGGTTTATAGACATGATCAAATACAGGATCAGAGTGGATTTAGAAGAAACTTCACACACATATTTTGGGGAGCTCTGACGCTTACAGTGAACTGGTAAACTGGTTAAAAAGGAGTATATAATGTGACCTTTAAACTATCTATTGTCAGTCATTTCTGTTATATACTTATATTTTTGTAGCATGTTATTAAAGATAAAAACTGCCTGATAAAAAGTATCTTAAGAGACAGAGACTAGGCTTAAACTGCCTTGATTGAAGCTTTTTTAATGTCCCTTACATTTGATTTTTTGCAGTGTGCTTGGTTTGGCTGCAGGCCTGGATCGCTCCCTTTAGGCCTGTAGGACAGAAAACCGTGTTAAATCATGCCTGTCCCTCTGTGTGTGGTGGTCGTGGAGGAGTCCTGCTTTAAATATGAACTGTTTGTATTTAATAGTACGTCATCTGAATGTATTCTTTATAGAGACACACACACACAGCTGCAGAGGGAGCTGCTGCGTACACACATCACATTTCTCTCTGCTGTGGAGGATTTATCTGTTTGGAAAGTCTCTTATAAAACCTGAAGTACTGTGAGAAAAAATCAGACTTGGTTTATTTGGGAAATTAAGCATGTCATTGAAAAACACAGTTACATCAGATCAGGACTTCCTGAAGTACAAAAACCAACATGGTGGACCCTCCGGTTCCTCTGGAAAAACATCAGGAGGAGACGGGGGTCGGGTGTTTATCAGTCATCTGTCAGAAATGTCCGTAATGAATCAAGCGATGGTCAGGATGGCTCGCTCCCTCTTCCTCCTCCTCTTCTTCTTCTCCTTAACCTGACCCGTCGCCTCAGCGAAGAACATCACGTCCTCTTTGCTCTCGATCTCCCTCTGGAGGAAATGCAGCGCCGCGCTGTTGAAGCCCATCACGTCCTGAGACACCAGGAGAGAAGACGAGGTGGTCAGGACATTGAGAGAAAATAAAAACATCTTTATTTGGTGGTTGAGCGTCTGATCAAGGTGTGACTCACTCTGATTTCCCGCACTTTGGAGAGGGTGTTGTTTCGCAGCTCGTCGATAACAGACACCAGCATCTGGTTACTGGAGATCTGACCAAAGTGGATCCTAGAAGGAAACAGAAGGACGATGTGAGCTCAGATCAAACCTGTATCATCAGAACATTCAACAGCAGCAGATACAGATCTACATTTACAATAAGACACATTCAAGAAAGCCATGAACAGAGAGCAAACGACTGACAGACGTCAGCTTTTCTCAAATACAAGTAGGGGGGGCCAAGCAAAACAAGTTGGGGACCTTTGCTTTGGCCATTTGATTCAGCTCAATTGTTATATATTTCTGCCAACATTTATTACCTCCAACAAATAGATTCTGCTTTTGGTGCCGTATCCCTGATTGTCAGCAGGATTAAGGAAACACATTTGGATAGATTTACATAAAAATAGTTGAACTTATTTTGCCTTCTTATGTTACAAGCATTTTTATTTTTATTTGGGAGCTGATGGGATTCATGACCAGGCAATCATTTCAAAACCTCTAATGGCTGTGCAGATGTCTTATAGTAGCCTGGAGTCTGTTTTGATTTTTTTTTTTTTTAGTCTGACAAGCTACCATTCAGGCGCCAGATCTCTAAACCCCTGACTCACTTATTCTGAAGACTTATTTTTGGGGTTTATGCCTTTATTTTGATAGGACAAAGGATGGATAGAGAGTGAAATCAAAGAGAGAGAGAGAGAGAGTGAGAGTGGGGAATCACGTGCTAGAAAGAAGTTGAGGGTCGGGGACGATCACGGGCCGGCCGCAACCTCTGTACATGAGGCGTGCAGACTAACTGCTAAACCAACTGCCTCACTTGTGAAAAAAATGTCCCTACGCACACACAGCCGGGTAGTTCACTTACTTGAGGAGGAAGAAGAGGCAGCGGCAGACCAGCTCCACCTCCAGGCCCTGCTGGATGTAGCTGTTGAACAGCTTCAGCAGCTCGGGGACGTACGGGAACGGTAAGACGAGCAGAGAAACCTCCAGCTCACTGTTAAAGCGACACACACAGAGGAGAAGGGTCACCATGGTGATGAGCTTAAAGGGTACAGTCAGAGGTGAATGTGAGGGTTTGGTCTCATGTCTCACCTCGATCGGACCTTCTTAATGACATCTAACACGTAGCGTGACGGCTGAACGACAGACACACACAGACTCAAGGTTAAAACTTAATAAATCTAGATTCATAACTATTCTCAATGTCCTCTTTTAAACTATTCTTCATCATAATTCTACTTACTGTGACGTTTCCAAAGGCAACAAGAATAGGGTTGGGTTTGGGAAGAGGGACCTGCAAAACAACATCAGACATTGGTCACATTTAGCTCAAACGTACAGTATAACCTGCAAAAAAACAAAATCCTGAAACTGGATCAGCGTCTACCCAGCCTTTGTGGATTTGTACGCTCCACTGCGCTTAGATGTGGATAAACATTTGTTTTGTTTTTTTAATGCGAGCGTTACTGGATCATGTCTGTACCTCTTTGCCTGCTCGCTCACAGGCATACTTATGCTCCTCCATCTTTCTGGCTTCCTCTTTGAAAAGTTCCAGCGCCTCCATTATTCGCTCAGCCTGCGAAGAAATCACACAACGATTAAAACATCAACTAAGAAACTCTAAAACCAAGACTGTTTTTATACGTTGCATTAACGCTCACTGGACTTTGAATATATTTCTTTACACTCTGAGTAGATTTGTATACACTGCAAGATTTGCTCCATTGTCAACTGCACAGCTCCTCCATTGCCCATTTTGTACTTTTTGTTTCTTATATTTTTAAATTTTTTAAAATTGTATATTATATATATATCTGTAATTGCTTCTTACATTTCATTTTTTAAGTTCTGGCTATTTTTGCTTTATTTTCCTTTGTTAACTGGTTTTTGCACCAATAAAAATAGACAAATTCCTTGTATGTGTAAATGTACTTGGCAATAAAACCTGATTCTGATTCTGATATACCTGCAATCTTCTCCTGCAAAATCTATGAAGAAGCCAAACCGGACATCAAATAATCCTGCTCCCCTGCTTAATTGCCCTTTGGTAGAGTTTAGCAGCATGGGTAATAATGACCGCTACACTAATTTTAGCCAAACACACAAGTATTTTGAAGTACCTGACATCAGCCCTGCAGCATATAAGTAGGCTACAACCTCATTTAAATAATAAGTCATGCTCATAGGAAGATTCAACAAATGCTTAGGAGACAGACTGATTTCAGGCCACAGGAGGTGAAGTTAACTCACAGCTTTGACCGTCTCGACTGTCTTCTTGCCGGCCGGCGCCGCCTCTCCTTGAGTCTCTCCAGGTACCTGAAGACAAAACAGAGCTAAAGCTTCACCTACATCAACATAACATGTTCAATTTAAAAAGTTGTCTTATGGAAAATGTTGACAGTGTCCTGAAAAACTCACCACAGGCACGTCTCCTTTGGCCATGCTCTCCTCAAACTCTGCCTCTCGCTCCTATGAAGAAGTAAACAATGTCATTTAGAGAAACAGAGACCATGTGTGCGAGAGTTTGTGTGAATGCATCGACACATTTGTCTGCATCCTCAACCTCACCATCTCCCGTTCCTCGTCCAGGATGATGGGCTCCCTGGTCCTCTCCCACAGACGCAGGGATTTATCGTGTGAAGCTGACACGATGTGGTCACCGTTTGGGCTGATGGTCAGACACCAAACCTCCCGATGATGTCCCTGTGAGGCAGAGAGAAAAGAGAAACGTAAGCCTGTGAGCATTTCAGTTCTTTTAACAGTGCAGGAGAGAAACCTAGGCAGAGTGAGAGATTTATTAAGTCATCACTTGGAACAAAGAGGAAAAACACCCCAAATGACTTCTTAATTATCCCTTCACCAATCTGACAAATAAAAGGTCGGCCATGTACGTCTGATATTTAGTTGGAGGGAACTCTGCCAACTTCCACATAGTCCATCAGTGTCAGTTTTGCTCCGTTGGATGGCGCGCGCCCCGCCCCCAGTGGGTCCGTTTCTAGAGCGTGAGCGTAGCCATGATCAGCTGTGCACACATCACAGGAAACTACAAGATCACGCAGGAATACAGAGAAAACAGGCTTTCTGAGGATGATTTGTTGTGACAAATTTGGCCTTAATGTTGATAAAGTGATGGAAAATATGATTGGGTGTCCGTTTATCGTGTTTTATTTTGAAATTGATGGACGCTTTGTGCATGTCCTAGTCTGACTTCCTGTCCGGGTCGATGTATTCTGTTCAGCTTGACGCATGCCTGCTGTTGACAAGCTCCTGAGAAGGATTGTGGTGCTCACTGTGGAAACACAATCATTGACTACAGTGGCAGCGAACAGCGCCATAGTGAGCATGGACTGTGCGGAAGTTGGCAGTAAGCCACTGAATGAATGAAAAAAAAAAAAAAAAAAAAGGTGTCACCTCCAGCGTCTGGATGTGCTCAAACTTGTCAGCGTCCCACTGTTTGATCTTCTTGTCTTTTCCTGCCGTGAAGAAGAGATGAGTCTTTGGGACAAACTGGAGGAACATGACGCTGTGGAGAGAAAACAGAGTTTGGGGGGAATAGAGATAATTAGAAGAATAAATATATAATCAATCAAAAGCTGGAGAGAAGAGAAGAGTGACAAAACAGAAAAGGAAGAAAGAGAAAAAGATAAATTAGAAAGCTAACCATTAAAAAATAAACAGAATGAGGTTAATAAAATGAACATGGAGGCGGCTGAATGAAATGAAATACTAGGAGGACAAGAGAAGACACAGACGAGGTGAAGTGAGATAATTCATGAGACAACAGATGAGCGGGGAGATGAAGGAGCAGCTGGTGTGAAGTCAGCGGGCAGTCAGAGTTTAAAGGACAGAGATCAGAGTCCCTGAACACAACACAAGACGTCAGAGCTGCAAACTCCACAGCAAGAAAATGATGTCATCACAATATATTTGATTTAAAAAGAAATGTTCACGTTCCACTGCTTGATGCGTGGCGTGTATTCCTGGGCGTTACCTGTCGTCATGAGCGAACATGGAGCGGTGACAGTCGCCAAAATCCAAACCCCAGATCTTCACGTTTCTGTCAGCGGAGCCCGTGGCGATCAGAGTGTTATCCTGAGGAAACAAAACAAAACCTCAGAGCCTGTGAGGCAGTGCTGCTTCAAAAGGACCTTATTGAAGACTATATGGGTTTCAGAAACAGATGCAATGACAGCTACGGTTTGGGGAAGTTATGGGGAACTAATTAATAATAATATACTGTAGGATGCAGGATTAAAATATTTCATATATAGCTGATAACATGCCAAGGATAGGGTTATAGTGTCTTTTAGTGATTTAAACTCCCTTTTTCTCTGAACCTGTAAACTCCACATTTCACTTCAGAGGAGGAAACATGTCAATGTTAGGATTTCTAATCAAGTCAAAGAGTTTTAGGTTCAAAAATGTTTTTTTCTCAAAGACACAAACTCCAGCGAGCTTCAGAATCTGGTTGCATGAACCGGTGTCGGTTATACTCACAGAGAAAATGCTAAACTGACAGTTTGAAAAATGTAAACATCAATGGGAAGAGATCGCTTTGGACTCATTTTGACACCTTACTGTCTTTTCTTTCATTTTTTATGTTTATGGATATTTCCCATGTGGACGGCTTGGATTCAAAAATAATAAAAAATAATGGATATGTATATGTTTAGGCCCTGTGTACACCTTGCATCTTTTTGCAATTGTTTTAAGTGAGGAGAGAGCGCTCTCAGCAGAAGACGGCCGCCGGGTGAAGAAGCACAGCGCCCAGAGTCTTTTTTGTGAGCGCTGAGCTTGAGAGTACTCACATGTGAGATGTCCAGACAGAGGACAGGCAGCTTGTGTCCGTACAGAGAGAGGAAGAACTGAAGGAGACAGAGGAGGAGTATATAACACTTCTGATAAAACGTTGAATATACGGGTACTGTCATTATTGTATGACTTGATACGTGTGTGTGTGTACCTTCAGTGTGTCGGTGTAGAAGACCTTCACAGTGCAGTCTAACAGAGAGACAGCCAGCAGTCTGTGGTCGGGAGAAAACTTCACACACAGAACGTCCTCCTCCAGCTGCAGAGTGCGTGTGTGTTTCACTGTCAGCCTCCTGTATCACACACACACACAAATATACACAAAATGAGTTAACGTCTCTGATGAGGGGAGGGAATTGATTCCACAGACGGGGGGGGGGGGGGGGGGGGGGCGAGGTCACCCCTGAGTTTGCGCTGAGCTCGAAGGTTGGCAGAAAAAGGCTGCTCAGAGGAGCTGAGCGATCGTCCTGGGGTGTAAGGGATTAAACGTTGAAGGGGCTTAAATACAAGTAAAGCAATTTCAAAGTGAACTTTAAAATCAACAGGGAGCCAGTGAAGGGAGGCGAGGACAGGGGTGATGTGCAGCAGCGTTATGCACATACCTGCAGACGTGAGAGCGAGGACTCACTGGCTAACATTTAGAGAGATTTGCAGAAGTCCAGGCGGAGGTGTTAAAAGCAAGGATGACTTTTAATGCATCTTGGAGACTTGAAATCGGGTTTCTTTGTATCAGGAGGCGGTTTCTTTAAAAACCTCGTACAGTAGCTGAGAGCTTCATTTGGAGTGCAGTGACATGTGAGGTCAGCCTAAATCAATCACACTGATGTAAGAGTGTTTAATAAAGTGATGACTTACTTCTGGCTGCTGCCTTGGTCCTTTATGAGCTCAAAGTCCCAGAACTTCACTGTTTTATCTGCACTGCCCGTCACAATCCCTCTCTGTAGAAATACAATTCAGACACACACATGCATATATATATTTAAGGCAAATGACAAAAAGACGAGGAAGAGACGGTTAGTTATTTCAAATCTGAATGACACTGTTAAAAAACACAGATAAGGGTCAAGCAGGGTGTGACTGCAGGTAGTGGTGTTTACCTGGTCGGGGGCCAGGCACAGAGACCACAGCGCTCCTCCGTGAGCGTCCACTGTCTCCAGGAGGCTTCCTGAGGCCAACTCAAAGATCTGCAGCTTCCCACTCTGAGGGGAAAAAAAAAACACAGACCTCACTGAAAACCCTTTTTTTGACTTGATTTTCCCAAAAGCAGGCTAAACACTGAAGCTTCAGTGTCCGTTACATGGCAACCTGTGTGCACATCGACTCGAGCGAGGAGGAGGCGGGGGTAGACTTGAATTTGAAGCCTGCAGTACCCATTTTAAACACTAGGTGTCAGAGTTACATATTGCTCCTTTAAAGGAAAACGATATTAGCACGAAACACAAAACTGTCTCCTGAAGAGCAGAAAATGCATGCAGTGTGGGAAACCTGGATGCTGAGTTGTTCTAGTGTGTTTTTATACCTTTGTCCCGAGAATGATCTGTCTGTCTCCGGGCACGAAGAGGGAGCACAGAGCGTATTCACAGGCCATTGTGCGGATCACCTGCAGCGTTGACCTGTAAGGACAGTGTGTTAAATCGACATGACTGTGAGGAAAACAAAAACTACCAAAACCTGCTGATAAGCTCTTTCTAGAACCTGAATCGGTCTCACCTGTTCCAAACTTTGACCGTGTCCCCGGAGGCGGAGAGGACGGCCAGGTTGTCGGTGCTGAAGGCCAGCGTGCGGACGTCTGTCCGATGTCCGCCGAGCGTGAGGCGAGCCGTCTTATTGGCTGTCGGGATTTTGTCTGAAGGCTTCAAGGTGTACGTCTCCACGGTGTTGTTCTGCAGCAGCAGCGCCACCTTCAGCTCGCCGCCTGCACATGACAGGCAGTCCACCCACCTGAAGGAGAAGGGAGGAGGAGTGTGAAGGCTTGAACCGAACTTTAACTTTAACAAGGAGCGCCAAAGTCAGAGACACGCTGGTCAGAAGCTCAGCTCTACGACCTCTGACCTAAAGATATGTGTGGCTCCACACTGACCTGATCTTTGAAGAAGCTTTGATGTTGGTCAGTCTGATGATCTCATCCTTCAGCATCCTCTCCACCACCGGCTCTGCTGCCTCCTCACCTGCATCCTCCTGAGCTCTACAGCAGGGGGCAGCAACACGACAAGTCTCAGTATGTTGACCTCCAAACAGAGTAACCTCAGCAGCATTTTCACTACCATCCCCACCCCATCTCTGGATCCTTGCTTGTTTTGTTCTTACTTTCTGATGCTACACACTTTGAATAAAAGTGTCTGCTAAACGAATTGTAGGCTAATTTTTGCAGTAATAGCTAGTATGTATATATATTGCTAGTATCAGTATGAACAAAGATAGTAAACATGTAACCAAACAGATGTTTTCATCTCGTCTCGTCTTACTTTGATGCCTTCTTCTTCGCTTTCTTCATCTTCTTGGTCATTTTCTTCTGCACCTCCTCCTCTGACAGCACAGTGAAGAGCTCCAGGATAGAGTCGTTACCCTGATGAAGAGGGGAGAGAGATATGAGATTAAATACATGTATATGATAAATCTAAAACAACCATGCATTTAACAATGAACTTAAAGCACTCCTTCAGCTTTTAATCTTCATTCAATGTGCAGATTTCCAGGAGGAGGAAGGTTTTCAGACATTGAATCGTGCTTCAGGAGGAAGCCGATGATGCTTCGCACACTCACATGGCAGGCGATGACTCGGGCCTTTGTGTCGGATGTCAGGGAGACGACTCGGTCTCTGGCCTCTCTCAGGATGGAGCCGGCTTTCTTACAACTCAAGATCCGCTGAGAGACGAAGAAAAAGCAGGGAAGAAGCGATTGAACTGATGTCGTGAAGGTGCTCTGCTGCTGTAACATCACTTTAAAAACTTGACTCAATTACAGAACAGAACACCTGATGTTACTTTACAACTATTCTGGAAGTGTGAAAACTCTGTTTACCTCTTCAAGACTTTCATCCGCCTCGTCCTCATTGTCTCATCGTCGTCATCGAGGAGAGTCTTCCCCTTTTTCACCTGAGGCTCACCTTCAGCTTTCTCCTGAAGAGGATGGAGACAGGCAGACAGTCAGAGAGAGAGAGAGAGAGAGAGAGAGAGAGAGAGAGAGAGAGAGAGAGAGAGAGAGAGAGAGAGAGAGAGAGACAGAGAGAGACAGAGACAGAGACAGACAGACAGACAGACACACATTGTTCCTCACCTGCTGCAGGTAGTTGATGTCCCAGGCTCGGAGCTCACTGTCTGCTGAGCCCGTCAACAGCCTGTTCTCCTGCTTCAGCAGCACCATGCCCCAAACCTAACACACACACACTAAACGCATTAGTAATCAACAATACTGTGTAGATAACATGAACAATTTAGACTGACAAATATAAACATACACATGAGGAAGCTTGGAGGTCAAAGTTCAGCTGACTACAGTGAGCCTATAGTCTGTCAGTTCACATTGATGTGATTATCAGCCTTCATTCAGCTAAATGTATTAATACCGTCTGCCTTCCAGATGGTTAACAACAGGGTCAACAACACTAATCAAATCACAGACAAAACTCAGGAGACTCAAACTCTTTTCAGCTTCAGGACGGAGCAGAGCTGAAAAGTCTCAGAGCGAGGGAACCGTTCCATGAGGCCGTGCTAATCCAGGCTAGAACACCTCCAGCCAGCTACTCATCCAGCTCCTGGGCTTCCTTTGTCTGTTTCAGGGATGACAAAGTAAGAGACCCTCTTACCTCGCTGCGATGGCCCACCATGGTCTGGAAGCAGTGCTGTGTGTCCAGGTCCCACCACTTCACAAAACTGTCCTTGGAGCTGAACAGCAGCAGAGAGCACCGACAAACCGACTTAAGTTAGTTTCACTGAATTTTGAACAATGTGAACTGTAAGAAACTGTTTTGATTCCTATTGAAAGGTATTCAGCTAAAAATAAAAATAAAATATCTTAATCATCATGAAATGTATGGAACGTTTACGGCCGGAGCTTGGGCACATGTCCGACAATCCGTTAATCATCAGCCCGTTATTTGAAAAATAATCTGTGCTCTTATGGATCGAGGACAACCTGAGCGAGAGCACAGCGCCTCTTGTTCTTCAGAGAGCTTATTGAATAACGATCCCAAATACCCGTCTCTGCCCAAGGGCCTTTATTCTGAAATGCCACCTGACCTACATGAAGGAACTTGTGGAGCACCACTGGACTGACGATGGGGGGATAAATAGAAAAGTTTCTATTATTTGTAAAATTTTAACACAGACACGTGTGTGACAAGTCATCATGGTCTCTTCAGAACACAAATCTATTGATTAACAGCTGATGGTTTTGTTGTTTTTTTTTTTGGTAAAACTGGTGACTGACATGACATGTTTATCGTAGCCATGGAAACAACTGATGTAACGTCAAAGCCCGCCGCAAAAGGAAGCAGGAACGGTTAACAAAGTTCCATTGCTGATAAACTTCGCCCCCCTCTGTTTAAACAGTCACTAAATCAAACCAGAGCTCATGAAGCTGATAAGTGATGACGCCATGGTCAGAGTTTTATTTGGGTTTTAAAGCGTTCTGTAACGTAGGTCATCCCTGCAGCCCTCTCTGAAGGACCTGCTGGTTTAGAAGGTGTGTTACCTGGTGACCAGGAGGTTCTTGTCTTTGAGGAACAAAGCCTCTGTGATGACGTCTTTGTGGCCTCTCAGCCTGTACAACCCACACTCATTGATGATGTCCCACACGATCACGTCTGTGTCCTGAAGGCAGCAGAGAAGAGGATACGGCACATTAGGAAAACATAGCAGCCGCCCAGAAGATTTTATAAAGTCTTAACATAAAGGAAAATAACGTGCATTTTTATGATTCAATCATTTGAATGTGTTACTTTATTCTTGATCTTGCTACCACTCTTATAGAGTAAGTCATCCTACAGCACACTTTTAAAAGTATGCAAGGTGTCACACAAATGTTGAAGAAAACAGAAAAACGTCCTCCTGACTCACCCTGGACCCGGTGACGAGCCGAGCTCCGAGCTTGTCGTAGTGAATGACGCTGACGGCCGACTTGTGGCCGTTGAAGGAGACGTTGTTCTCCCCGTCCATCAAGCTGAAGATTCTCACAGCGCCGTCCTCGTAGCCCACAGCGATGTGGATGCCATCGGGGGAGGGGCAGAGGAAGGTCACCTCGTGTTTCTGCCCCTTCAGGATCAGGACCTGAACACGGAGACAAGTGAAGGATCAGAGCTGGAAACAAATCAGAGTTTAGAGAACTTTCTAGAGTCAAAAGTGGAGAAAAAAAAAAAAAACCTCACCTTCTCTCCTTTCCGGACATCCCAGATGAACACGTGTTCACATGCAGCCACAGCGACATAGCGTCCCTTCTCTCCGCCTCGGAGGGTCACATAAGCAATGTTTGCTTTCTGGCTGCCGATGACTCCGAACACAGCGCTGGCAACATAGCGCAGGTACTGCTTGGTCAACCCCATGACCGGCGGCCGGATGTGGACTTAAATCCTGTTTCATAAATAAACAGGAGACAATCTGAGTATAATAAATTGTATCCGGTTATTCTCTCGCCAAAGTGACATAAACACAAAACATGGATCACAATATCTGTGAAAAAAAACCCAACTTAGAACAGATATCAACGTTTATTATGAATCTATTCTCCATAAAAGAGGCTCTGTTCTCCACACAATGTGCAAAATGGACTTTATGTATATGCATACAAAATAATATCTTGATGTTTTGCTGTCCATGAAAAATCAGTCAAGCTCTTCCACGGAAACGAGGGAAACATCTCTGTCTGACTCATGGATTAGGAACAGCATTGTTGAGTTAAATATGGGAGGGGGCTTCATAAAACAGCGTTCAGAGTGTTTGATTTCATGGGGCGGCTGTGGCTCACTAACCTCTACCATCAGTGTGTGAATGGGTAGGTGTGACATGCGGTGTTAAAGTGGAAGCTCAAGTCCATTTACCATTTTTGAGAAATGCAGGTGATTCAGAAGTTTTCAAATCAATGAGTTGTTGTATTCAATGATCTCAATAATCTGCCTTAATCGAGCAGCTCTAATATATACAATACTGTGTTGTTCCCCAGGGGGAAATGAGTGGTCACAGCTTGCACAGTTGGGACATGGATACACACATGACACAAGGAGAAACCATGGGAGAAACACCTGAACAGCAGCATGTATCAGTAACCATAGCAGCCAATATAACAGTCAATGTGGGAGTTTGTTAGGAGCTTCAGAAGCCGAGGGGACAAAGCTCTTTTTCTAACATTATTAGTATGTTAAAACGTATTTTCATTAAAAAAAAAAAATTAATGCAAAAATTTACATCATGTCTGTGCCGGTAAAGGTGAGCTTATAATGAACCTTTTTTTTTTTTCTTGGCGTTATCTGAAGCTAATATCCCTAACCCTAACCCTTAACACCACTCTTGTGTTGTAAGAGAATGAGAAATCACAAACGTTTATGACACTGACCGATGTCATTTTGGTAAAATAGGAGCCTGAGATAACAGCACGCTAGTCTGGAAATACAGTGACGCGTTTGTTTTTAGTGTACCACGCACCCCGCGCGGTCGGAGTTAAAGCTTCTGTCGCTTAAATGCATTCGCGCGCGGAGACACCGCCCGCCCAGCAAGCGCTGTACAACGAATCGAGTAAACCCGACCGCGACACCATCGGTTGTTCCTGAACCCACGTGGAGAAATTTAAGTGTAAATGCAGATATATAAAGACAACACAGTGTTTATTTATATCCCGATATGTTTTTCATCATGTAAATATCTCCCTTTAAACGTGAATGTTTTGTATATTTAGTTAGTTTCTCTTCTTACCTCTAAACTTTCGCGGCTGCTAGCTTCACTTGTGTTGTGTTTCCAGGACTGCTCTGCTAAGACTCGATAAGTCGATCACAGATACGTAGAAAAAAGCTGATTGTTTTCAGTCTATGATGGAAAGTCATTTTGTAATTTGTAATTTATTTCAAGGATAGCCCCTTGAGATGCATCGTCTCATTTTCAAGTGGGTCCTTACAAAACATAAATTAATCATCATAATACAAAATCTAAATAAATTAAAATAAATAAAACATAGAGACACCCACACCACAAACACACACACACTCACACTTAATGCTCCCCCAAGACTAGCCACCCACCATCCAGTCAATATTACACAATCAGAAAAAAAAAAAAAATAATAATAATAATTAAAAAAAGAAAGAAAGGAAAACCTCTGTATATATATATATATATATATATGCATACACACTATACAGTACATACACACATAGTGTATGCAAAGTAAAGTAAAGGAATCCATTTGGCATAAAAAAGAATAGACCGTTTTAAATTAACGTAAACAGTAACAAAATTTAATTTAAGTTGTTTTATTTCGAACATGTACAAAAGAGAAGAAAAGAAAAATAACAGAAAAAAAAGTAATATGTACAAACAATGAAGAACATCATACAAAAGAAGCTTTCAAACACTAGTGTTTTTATTTACACACCCGAGAAGGAGTGGGTAAGTAAACGATAAGAAGTATAATAATAGGGAGTAAATAAGTATACTTCTTTGATTGGATTAATAAAGTTTTCTAATCTAATTAAAGAAGTATAAACTTATTTAATCCAACCCCTTCTCCATTAATCACCAATGATCCTGTCAGTTTCTTATTTGTATACATAACCAAAACATTATTTCTCTAAACTCGTCTAAATATATATTTATTACTTATTATCTTCCACATACAACTTATACAATCCTTAATATAGAAATATAAATTACATTTTTTTACATTAATCTTAGTGAAAAAGAAAGTTACGTCAATAAGTAGCATTTATGGGACATTACTGTGGTGAAATAATGAAAATAATTTGTTATTTATCATTTAATGCTCGATCGTTCACTCTCTGTTGCTTCTGTCTGCGCTCTCAGAAGCGCTGCGTAAGAGACGTTCTTCAGCTTCTAGTTTAACTGCATCGCATATTAAATAATCAAATAAATCTCATATTGGATGCAGGGTATCCGCTGCTTTGAGTGGTCACACATATTTGGCTAACTTTCAGGGTTTTTGTGGTTAAAAAGGGTGCCGTAATGTTTGACAGGTCCCTGAACAAACACAGCGGAAGTGTGTTTCGTTTTTCAGTCAGCTGATTCAGCGATGATTGAGAAATGAAGAACAGGGACGTCAAGTCAGAGGCCAATAACAGGGAACAGACCGGAAGTTTACTTGCATGATGTATACACAATAAAAGCACGAAATAACTTGGAAATCAGAATTTAAAAGCATTACAACTGGGAAAGGTACCGGAAAGAAAAGTTTTGTTTTTTTATTTCAGTTTTATTATATTCTATATTAAAAATCAGCTCGATTTAATGGCATATATATGAATTGTGCAATAATTTATGATTCACTTCAGAGAATAAATGCGTTACGCAAATTTACAATCAATTCAAAATATAAAATCAGAGAGTAATTGATTAAAAAAAAATTAACTAGCAGTAGTAATATAAGGTTATTTCCCAGGCTCAAACAATCGTCCAGCTGGTCTCCTTCGATCAGGATGGCCGGGTGGTCTTGTTCTAAAAAAATACTTGGAAAGATTCCACATCTTATTATTCAAAGTCTCCTTAGTGCAGTGGTTCTCAACTGGTGGATCTAGACCCAAAAGTGGGTCGCAGAACCGTTTTCAGTGGGTCGCAAATGTGTGCCTGGAAAAAAACTGTGTAAAAGTCTATGAATGAAAATTAAACATGTTTTTTTTTTTTCCATTTTGTTGCTCTTTGTCACGTGTTTTGTACCGTCGGCGGACAAAACTGCACATGAAGTCATTAAATAAATCTGATTGGTTGTAAAATATTATCAATTTAGTTCGACATTTGTCATGAAGCAGTTGGTGGTAGGTCATTTTATTTGATTCCTGGCTCCTACACTAGGTCGGTTTTCTCACAGCAAAGCCCCAACACCTGTTTTACTAACTGGAAGCATGTTTTCAGATCCCCAAAACAGTTCTTCTTGGGTTCCATGGGCATCTTTGTCAAGGGAATTTTATTTTGAAATTATCTACCGGATGTTGTTGTGTACACTGTAGGTCACTCGACTGAGCATCACTGCGCTCTTAGCATGCAGGCTAAATGAGCAAACCTGCTTAATCGGCGTTTTTTTTACTCATTTTTCACCACTTTTACGATTTATTTTCTTGTTAGTATGAAAGCTTACAGTTGGCACAAAACGTCTTGAGTCTACAAATTGTTTTTGAACGATTATTTCTTTTTTTTTTTGTATGTTTTAGCGTGGACATCACCTCTTGTTTGGAGGAAATACAACTGGCTAGGTAGGTGACTGCTGAGTTTTTGTTTGTGATGTTGCAGATTTTAACGATTTATTAATAAAACATAATGTTTAAAGAGTGCCACAGTTGATTTACAGTTCAATTATAAGCAGGAAGAAATTGTCACCGCAGTATGACTGTTTAAGGATCCATTTGGGGTCATTTTTTTTTTTTTACTACCCTGTGGTTTGGCTTAATTAAATTAAAAGGAGCTGTTACAGAGTTCTGACTTCATTAATAAATCATAATAAACATTATAATTAAAAAATAAAGTTTGTGTTTTGAGGAAAGCATCGTGTTCCCTCCTCTTAAAGTGTACTTGATTATATTAAACCAAAATATTCTGGAGCTGAATTCACGGTTTAATCCAGTTTTTACTCATGTTTTGATTTTTTTCATTCATAATAAAATCTGAATTATCCAATTGTGAAAATCTAAATCAGAAGAACTGGAAACGACATGTGAGACATTACTGCTTCAAAAAAATTGAACTTTAGGCTTTACTTATTCTGACATAACTTATTGTCAGTAAATCCATTCATGTAAAGCCACACACTCACACACTCACACACTCACACACACACGCACACGCACACGCACTGGCTTTTGTTTCTTTTGAATCAAGTGACTCAAAGTCCGCAGAGGTGATAAGACTGTGCAGGATCTTACTGGGCTTTTTTTTTTGTGCCATAAAAAAACGATTCATTGATCAGGCGACGTTTGTCCAATCAATTGACGTCCTTAAGAAACAGACAGAGATGCTCAATGTTCAGTGTTCATGATCAAATAAATTTGATTTATTAAGCACCTTTAAAAAATGAGGGTTTACACAGCTGTTTTGACACAAGCAAAAAGAACCAATCACATGACTCCAAACAACACTGTGACACTTGATAAATGAGTTAAAAACTGATGTTGATTTATAGAATATTAACGCGTGAACAATATTTCAAACAAAAGTGATGTCACATCCTTTTCATCAGTCTTCTAATAACTTCCCTTTCTTCTCACGTTATGTCAGATTCATGAACTCTGATCTACTGAGGACAAAACATTCTATAAACTTCTATTATTTCTAAATCTGAGGATGAGCCGAGATTTCAGCTTCTTCTATTAAAGTGAAACGTGCTTGTCGTGGTCTCCTGGAACCCTGAGTGATGTCTTTAACTTGTTGTTTTGTTGTTTAGCCCTAACCCTCGATTTATCATCCGAAACACACACCGCCTTCTGCTCTTGTCAAAGGGTGCTCTCACAGTAGACAGTCCGTACAGCACGCCTAAACCCCTAAAATCCAGTTTGTTTGACTGGTGTGAGTGCTTCAATCCGTGCTCGAGCATGGTACACTTCCTTGGCTGTAGCTTGTATTTGTATAATGTACAATAAAGTAAAAAAAAACAACAACTATTTGAGTAGTTTTTAGTTGTCTTTTGGATGCTGAACCTACATCTTAAAATCCCAGCATGCACACATGTTAGTCAGATATTCATGCAGTCTGAGTGGACAAATCCTTCAGCGGTTTCAGGTGGTAAACATCAAGTTTAAGTGTCCCGCGGGATCGCAGAGGGCTTATTGTCAGAGCTGCTGTTTTACACCAACCTGCAACAATCCATCCACAGAGGAGGCTGCAAGACGTGCGCCAACACTGCTGTGCTTATAACACTTTGTTCTAGGGACTCATCGATGCAGCGGTTCAACAGAGGCCGGTATCGGTCTGGTGTGGTGGTGACCGACATCAGCAGGTCTGCAAATAACGTGGAACCCATGTCAGTGAGCTGATGTTTATTGGTTGTGCCAAATCAATTTAATGCTGACATCTAGTTCACCTAACTACCGATTCAGAGAAGAGGTTTTTTTTTATTGGGCAGATGAAGTCAACCGTTGAACAATCTCTGACTTGTTTTCATCGTCAAACACGAGAGAAAATGGCGGCAGAGTGAGAGTCTTGAACCATAAGAAGTCACGATCAAACATCGGTATCGGCCCTGATTTTCCCAATCGTTGCGTCTCCAGTTTGTAATCTTAGTTCAAAACGCCAAGCAGCAGGGAAAGGTGGACTAAAACTAAACTGCAACTGCTTTTCATTGTCAGTGAAATAACTAAGCTTGAAATCAAGTCCGCACAATATCTGTTCACTTCACATTTCCTGTAATGATTTTCATTTTAAAGTAAACGCTCGATGTTTGTGAAACTAGTCCCAGTGAACGGTTCGGCGTTTCAGCTCCAGGAATGACTTGAAAGCTCAATGGATTGAATTGAAAATCTTAAATCTGTTAGCTGCTTAACTGATTAGTCATTCAACACAAGGTAATCGCCTCCTGGCAAAGGATAAAACAAAGAATTAGTGTGTCCACTTTATGACAACTCAGTCAATGGAAAAAAAAAAAAAACAAGCAGAAGTTTAAATGACCATGAAGGAATACAAATAGGAGCAGCTCTTATTGTTTCACTGAGAAATGTTGTCGTTATGTGACTTGCGGAGTCTTTTAGTTATTGCTTCTCTGTGGCCACCTCCTCATGCAGACGTCAACACTGACTGATGATAGTTAGGATGCAGATTTTAAAGTTTGTCTCTTCTCTCCCTGCATCCAGGGTGGCTGTTTGGAGATCCAGAGGGGATGGATCCTCTGGGTGCTCGCTCCCAGTTTGTGGACATCCAGACTCTCCCGACCTGGCAGCAGCAGCTGGGTGAGGACGGCGAGGAGGCGCCGCAGCTGGACCAGAGCGACAGTCTGCTCAGCCAGCAGAGCTTCCCCTCACCCTTCCCCTTCAGACCGGACATCAACCGCAAGATCATCCTCTTGTGAGTCACACAGACTTCTTCTCTTTGGTGCCGGCGGCTGAAAAGATCCTCTCCTGGCGGTTCCCTAACGTTCTCTTACAACTCTCCCCCCTCGCCATAAACGTCGACACATAAACATATTCATACACCAATCACACTTCCAGTCACCCTCTTTGCAAATAAACTCCTATAGTTTTAAGATTGATCTTGAAGATTGCTCAGAATAAGAACTTCAGAGTGACAACAAACTGAAAAAAAAACCAACAAGCGGATTTTAAAGAGGAAGTGAACTAAGGTGATTCTGCAACATGAAACTTGCAACAGACATTGCTTTTAACTGTTTGTTTGTTTTTTCAACCTGACTCTGAGGATGAACAAATCCCTATGAAAGAGATAAAAAATCTTCTTTTAACATTCATACTTCCTGTCCTTGGGCTTACTTTCATTTACTTCATGTGCCGGCTTCGATCTGTATGTTGTGTTGTTGAAGGCGACGACAGAAACGCCTCTCACACAGGAGGGTTGTGGTAAAAGGAAGGAGTGTGGCTCTCTTTATCAAACACTGTTGTGCAGGTGAAGCTGAAAGCGAGATGTGACTCATCATATTTATAGTCATAGTCTTTGTTTCAGTAATTGTGACATCTGGTGTAGACTCATTTACTTTAGTTTACCTGGAAGTCCTCTCACAGAGTTGACCATGCTTTACTGGCAATACTCGCACACACTCACTGCAGGAAGTTGTGTGTATGTTTACTGCTTGTACCTACACTGCTAGTTAGTTACTACGTGCTTGCACAAGCTAACCGCCCGGTGTTTAGCACCTGTCTGTCCAACAGAAAGCAGGCCAACTCCGCGTCCCGAGGTAAAAGCCTATCGAAGGTAAACCCTAACTTTGGAACGAGCTTTATCTGCGTGCCGTTTTGCCTCACTGTGATTATATTTTCGCTTCGGTTTGAATCGCGTCCAATCGCTGAATTGTATCCACTCCTGAACTCACCTGGGTGCTAAGTTTATGTTTTTTTGTTTCAGGAAAAAGCTAATAACTCTATCTTTAAAAGCCCAGATTTAATCCACAATAACACATCATATGTTGAAACTGATTATTAGTTTTTTCTTGAATTCCAGCAAAACAGCAAAAGGGTCATGTCGACCACCCTGTAGCATCACCTCTTCCTTTAACAACACACAGACTTTTGGCTCTCACACTTCAGGGGTTGGATTAGTTGCCAATTTCCCCAAAAGGTTGCAGATTTTAACCTTGCAACTACTGCTGCCAAGTCCTGAAATGTCTAGTTTTCTGCCTTTGCTCCCCAAAGTATCACAAACACTAAAACATGAGGAAAGTTGGTTTGACCGACACTTACATGCTGAGGCCAGTTTCAACCATTTCTGAGATTATCTTTGAGGTTCTTCCCCCTAAACCAGCTAAGAATAACTGCTCTCTGCATACTTCATCAACCATTAGGATTTGTTCTCATTAAAACTCTGGATTCTCCTCATCACTCTTCTGTGGCTTATTTTTCTGAAAAAGCTCAAACCAGAGTATTTGGTTTGGTTTCACTCGTCTGTGGAAAGTTTGAGTGTACCTTTTAAATTCAGAGGCTGTGTGAGTCTTTCCAAAAAACTTAACTGCACGACCATAACTCTTCTCAATTCAGGAGCGTTCATTATTTCAATTGGATCTGTTGCAGTTGTTCCCAAATGTTGATTTTCCATCTTCATGTGGAATCAAAGATCCTTACACAAGAAGTTTGACCTGACGTGAGTCCTACAGAGTTTTTTCTTCAGATGATCAGACAGCTGTCCTTTGCAATGTCATTTGTCAACAAACTTTAAAGGAGCAATCTGTAAGATATCTACTGGCTGAAATGATAAAGTGACCTTACAATATGATCAGACATTAAGGAAACATGCTATGTTGAAGTGCTGGCTTCTCTGACAACAATGCAGCAGCCAGTATGTCCTCCTTCTAACTTTAGATTCTGGTCCTGAATGCTCTGGATTTGTTTGGACCAGAGAAGGTAGGCGGTTTTAAGGCGCCCCCATATGGCCGTTTTGGACACCCCTCAGTTATCAGGTCAAACCAACAGGCGTTGCAGCGATGGAAGCGGGCAAGAGAACTGGTTCAGATCGAAGTGATTGTACCGACCTAAAAAGCCTCTGCATGTTTCTAATAAGCTCCACGAGCAGAAACGTGCTCAAACTAGGATCAATATTGGAGATGCTTTTGAAAAATGGAGAGAGGTTAGAACGCAGAAAGGTTTACAGACCGATGCAGAGCTGGATAAACACTGAAGCTTCAGTGTCCACATGGCAACCTGCATGCACATCGACTGTAGAGAGGAGGGGGACAGCTCTCTTTGATGTTTGAATTTGGACTGCAGTACCCATCTTAAACACTAGGTGTAAGTTACATATTGCTCCTTTAACATATCCCAATTAGTTAAACATTTGATTTGCACCCTTCACTCTCTTGATGTTTGGGCTGCTCGCCACAAACGGTGATCATTGTTGTTTTTAGAAAGTGAAGCTCTCTACAACAAACCATCTGTACAAATAAATCTTTTTTTTTTTCCATTTTCCGGCGATCTGACATCATTTGTTCATTATTCTGAGTAAAATATGCTGCAGAACTACAAGTGTGAAATATAACTGTTCTCTATTAACTTTGGGATCAGAGTGGCTTAGAGAACTTGTGGTTATGTTTCTGAGAAAGTTTTTTTCCCCTGAGCCTAGCACGCCTTTGATAAAGCCGTAAATGGTCTTGACTCTCCATTTACCAAAGATCCCAGCGTGCGAATAATCCGCGGTATTCAGGACAGGTTTTATGTGCAGATAGATCAGATCAGTGTAAAAGGCAGCTTGACTTGTAATGTCTTTAAAACCAAATGTACTGAATGAAGCTCATGCAGCAGCAGCTCTGCTCGATCTGAACGTTCATCTCATTAGAAGTCGCAGTCTTGTTCCTTTATAAATCAATTCTTTGTGTTCTTAGATTTAAATCACGTGGCTCCTCTGAATTCAGCGAACTGTTTGGAGAAGAATCTGTTATTAAATTAAACCAATCAGGCGTTGATTTGTAACTGATTAGACTGAGTTGTCTGTTGTTTCAAAGTGTAATCTATCCCTGATCTGAAACAGGTCAGATGTCATGTTTTATCGACCCACAAACAGGATGTGTATTTCTAATACTTTATTTTTTATTTTTTTTTTTTTTGTCACTACTAAAGGACAAACAACAACATCAGTGGAAATAAACTCATGAAGAGGTCTGGATTGTTTTGTCTCTAAAACATTTGGTCCTCTGAATTATTCAATACAATGATGACGGCAGAGGCTGCTGTGTAAAGTGACCATCAGTATTTACTAATCCTTTTCATACACATTCATAGAAACTGGGGGTTAAGCGTCTTGCCAAGCGATGGGGATCGAGCCCCCTACCTTCTGTTTGAGAGGTGACCGACTCTACCACGGAGCCACAGCCGCAGCCGGGTCTGAATCTGACCTCTGCCCTTTGCTGCATGTCACCTGCAGCTCTCTTCTCTCAACATTTCCCCTCTACAGCTGTCCTATCTCATAAAGGCGAAAGGCCCAAAACATAACTTTAAAAAAGGAGACTTTTGTTTTTAACATGCGGTATCTAAAAGTATGTAAGTATTGAACGTTTTTGACAAGAGGGAGGAGCTTCACCTGGAGTCGAGGATGATCAAATGAGAATTTGGTTCCTGAAGATTGATGACTCTCGGATTTCTTAAAATCTGTTTTCGGCCATAACTAAAGAATTTGAACGCTCATTTTGACACGTTTAACACAAAGTGTAGTGTATAAAATGATAAGGTGATAGTGTTGTTGTTTTACCAAAAGGTAAACAATCACCCTGATATGATAATGTTCTAGACAAACAATTATCGAGCTATCATTCCGCCCCATTCTTGTGGTTTGTAACACTTCTGCTCGACTGTAATTATAGTCTACATGCTGCTGGACTCGTTCATTAATGTCCCCGCTGTAGCACCTTAATGTTAAACATCCTGATGGGCTCAGAGACGAGATGCATCTAGCATTGAAGCGTGAGGTCAAATTTTAAGGGAAATCATTGACCATCATTTTGACCGTTTGCTGAGGAACATGAAACAAGAAGCTTGGGCACAGACGCGGTCAGAGGAGGGTTACATTGCTAGAAAATACAGGAGTAGTAAAACAAACACTTTGAGTATTTTTAGCAGCAGCGTTGGCTCTGTAGTGTGAACGCCGCCTGTGTCTCTCCACGTGCTCTCCTGGACCAGTTCAGAGTCCAGATCGCCTCACAAATCCTCTTTATGGAGGAACACATGATCATCCGGTGCCCGATTGGCATAGTTTCTGTGTGAGGGCCTTGTTGTTAACAGCGGGCCTCCCCTTGCTCACTCATCAGCAGCAGCAGGCGCATTCCTGCTGCACGAACGTGACCAGACCTCCAGGAACAACCGGCCCTCGGGCAGGTTCAGCTTGTGACCGCTTTGTGGCTCATTGCTGACATGAATAAGTGGTGAACAGTGCCACCATGGATACTTTCACCTCCAAACACTCGGTAGATTTATGCAGTTCAATACATTTCAGAAGAGTTAAGATATAAAGAGGAATCAAATGTAAAAAAAAAAGATATTATCTGCAAATACTATCTTAAAAGTGAATTGAAGGATGTTTGTGCTGATACTGAAATGTCAGCTGTACATGTCTGAATGTAGGACTGTGTGATTAAATCAACCACACCGATAGTATCGTGCAAATTCTGTTCTGTGGACATGTTATCATTGTATATTTGTGCACAAACTATCATGTAGAGTGCTGTTTTCGCCAGGTATTAGCTAACAATTCAAAGGTACTACTGAAGCTTTTCCGACTTGTCGCTAACTTGCAACAGGAATGCGGTTAACTTGGACGTGATGGCGTTCCCAGCACCGAGATCCGAGATCAATGGACACACCATCATGACATACACATATTTTTGTTGACATACTCAAGCATCTAAAAAGCTGTTTGTCTGGCCACTTAATTAAATGAATGGTTGGCATTTAGCTTCACAGGCTGTATTTGTATCCCGAGAGTCGAAGCAGGTAAAGATAAGACTCAGTAAATACCGTATCTGATAGATTGATACTGAGAACGAGGTCTCTTTCTCAGTCTGAGTTACTTTCTGGCAGTGTGATCTGCTCTGGCTTGTGACTCATTTTTAATTAACTTAAAAAGCACAATTTAAAAAACAATAAAACTTGTCTTTCTCGCTCCTGACGGCTGACCTCGTCTTGTGACCAAAACGCCTTCAACACATGCTCGAGTGGTTCCGCATTGTTTTTTCCAAACAACCTGCCGAGTTCCAGAGAGTGAAGAAATGACTTTACTGAAGCAATAAAAATAAGTATTTCACTCTGGCTCAGTGTGTAAATGACTTTGGTTTAAAGTGTGCAGACTAACGGGCCCGTGTGTGGTCAGACAGTCACTCTTCCAGGGTTTTTAAGTCAAACTTAAAATGGCCTTTCTGCTCATATTTAAAGGTAACAGGAATTCACTTCATTTGAGAGAGCATGCCACATCAGCCTTCTTTCCTCCAATGAAAACCTACCAGACAGAGATCTGAAAATCAGCCGCCATTGTTGTTGTTTCTGCATGTTTATGTTTGAAATTATCATCACTGTCTTCATCTATTGTTGTGTTCTGGTCTCATCAGCACCGGGGACGTCGCTCTGCTGAACTGCACCTCCATCGTGAACACGAGCAACGAGATGCTGAACGACAAGAACCCGGTGTCTGACAGCATCCACCAGCACGCCGGGCCCGAGCTCCGAGAAGAGCTGCTCAGATTCAAAGGTAGAGCTGAGGACGGGGGGAGGGGGTCGTACACATGAACCCCAACTTTAGGGCTAATTTGAGTTTTTCCTCTCTTGCATGTTGATGCTGCAGACTCAAATCTGCAGACAGGACACATGAATGCAACTATACATGCGTATGAACTCACAGCCCAGCACATGATGATCAGATGAATTTAATTTAAAGAAAGGCTGCAATCGCTGCCTTAATTTACAGTATTGTATCTTTTAGAAAGAACGCACAGCTCCCTTTCATGAAGAACTGCAAAGTGAAGATCAAAGAGAAACCTCAAATTGAATCAAAGCGATTCATACTGTCTGTGAAGAGTCTGCATCAAGGAATCAAATTAACGAAAGCATTCAGGAATTCAACGCAAGGCGACAAAATCCTCTTTCTTTCTGACGCCTTTCTGAAGTCACGGCCTCCTTCAGGCAGAGAGAGCTGGCACCACATCGTTTAATCACATAGATGTGTGTTATTTCCAAACGACATCGAGTGTTAGAGATTTATAAAACCAAAAAAATCTGAATCCAAATCAGTTTTTTTTATTGGCCAAGTATGTGGTGCATTCCTCTTTATGTAAGAGACAAATACATACTTCACTTAAACTTGCATCTGTACTTGATAATTAAATGTAGCAGCTGTAGAAGTCATAGAATAATGTAAAGTAAGTCTTTTTCACCCGTGGTGTGTGAAGGAGAGACGGCGCAGGTCCTTTCTCCCTGCAGCAGTCAGACTCTTCAGCCGAGCCTGCTCCCAGTAGATCACAAAACACACAAGCTCCAACCTCTTGTGCAAATATCTACCGTATTACAATATCCTCTGATAACATGTTCAGCTTTATGTGTGCTGTGTGCATGATGGTGTTTTTTTCTATATATGTGTGAATGTTAAGACTACATTTGTAACAACTGCAGCTCTGTTTTGGCTCCTCTACTATTTTCCTTTTTTTTTATTTGATGGTGCTCTGTGTCCACTTGTTGGCTGTCCTGCAACACTGAAAATGTCATCTTATCTTGTCTTTAAGATGTCCCTGCAGCATTACCAATCATTTCCAGATTTTTCTGGAGCGTTGTTCTTCGAGGTTACTCACTTTCAATGTTGTTGTGTTTTTTTTAATGCAGGATGTCGAACAGGTGAGGCGAAGCTGACCAAAGGCTTCAACCTGGCGGCGAGGTTCATCATCCACACGGTGGGACCGAAATACAAATCAAAGTACAGAACGGCTGCAGAGAGCTCGCTCTACAGCTGCTACAGGAACATCATGCAGCTGGCCGCGTAAGAAGCACAATTATAAACAAACAGCTTCTGAAAAAGAGAAAAACTTTTCTTCTCTGTAGAAGTACAGCGAGAGTTTTCTTTGTTGAAAAAAGTGGCCGACGGTTGTTGGTTGTTGGTTGTTGGTTGTTGGTTTGTGTGTGTGTGTGTGTGTGTGTGAACACCAGTCCTTGGTATATGAACTGTTAATGTGGTGAGCCATGTGTGAGATTCTTTTTTCTTTTTCTGTTGTCACCTTAGAGAGAAGTCGATGTCGTCTGTTGGTATCGGTGTGGTGAGCACGACCAAAAGAGGTTACCCACTGGAGGACGCTACACACATCGCCTTCAGTAAGAAACACGCACACACACATACACGTGCGCGCACACACACACACTCACACACACACTTACACACACTCACTTAGATGTCATTAAGAAGGAGAGACACAAACACACATACAGCTTTTTATCAGGGAGGTACAGATGAGGGGTTGTGGAAGAGAGCCTGTTATCTTGTTATCTTTCTGTGTTCTGTACACTCACACACACACACACACACACACACACACACACTCACACACACCTGGAGAAACTACACAGCACTCATTATTCCCACAAAAACAACACAGAAGACTCATGGTTATACTTTTGATTAAATTAGGACAACAAATTACGCTGGCAGACGCTCTAATTCAGTCATGACACACAATACAAGCCTTTATTGTGACAGGCTTTAAATGACATGTTCTCTGAAGCGCACATGATGATGATGATGATGATGAAGATCATACTCTTTAAGTAGAAGCAAAAAAAAACATCTTTAAATAAAGATGCATCCAAACACATTACAGTACCAATGACCTACACCACCCATTAGAGAGACGAGGCATGTGTCGCTCCAGCAGTTTATAAACTCCACTCTGCAAAGTGAGAGAAGCTGCAGCCTTCAAAGTGACCACAGTGAGAGCAACACCAATACATTCATCAAGCTCATCAAGCTCTGTGGGCCTAACATAGATATATTAGTGTCTTTGTGTATGTTACGCTGATATGCACATGTAGGAAAATGTATTTTTCTGAATATTAGTGCAGAAAATAATGCTCAGGTTTGCCTAGAAAAGGCGTCATCACCAAGACTGCTACAATTTGCAAGGATTGGTCAGTACTGGGATTGGTTAACAATAGGGCTTTGGGGATGTTTAATATCTTTGTAATCCTTTTCTGAAGTCATTTGTTAAGGAAAGTGCCTTTGCAAAGTCATATTGGTGCAAAGTCTGTGCACAATCCACAAAGAGAAGTAGACCTGGTGAAAGCCAGATGATTACGCCCTACACGGTGTCAAAACTTTAAAAGCAGCTCACCTCAGTTAGTAGAGTAGGTGTCCCATGTGTTGAGGCCGCAGTCCCTCGTCACACTGGTTGTCAGTTCAACTCCCGCTCCTGACGCCATGTGGTGCATGTCATCCTCGACTCTCCCGCCCACAAACTTAACATCCCTCTATCTGTCCAAACAAGGAGGGGAAAAAAAGAAACTTTGAAACTCTTCAGGCTTTCGTGGAAACCCCTTTTTTTTTTAATGTTTCCAATAAAACCGAACATTAAACACACGACTGTTTAAATATACAGCGCTTAAATAAGTAAGTACCTATACAAAAGTCAATACCTTTTTGTTGAGTTTTGTGCGTTTCTTGGTTGCCAATTTCCAAACTAAAGGAAAGAGGAAAGGAAAAGAAAAGTTGGACTGTTCAGTTCTCAGTAAGAATCCTTGACCTGTTATGTGTTTGGCAGGTCTTTATATTGACCTATATGTGTGCGTTCATGTGTTTACAGGAACGGTGCGCAGGTTTCTGGAGAATCATGGAAACAGCCTGGAGGCGGTGGTGTTCGCTGTATCAGAAACAGAAGAGGTTGGTGTGACTTTAGTCAGCGCCCCTACATCCCATAATAGTCAGAGTGTGAAGTATGCATTCAAGAAATTCTTCTTGCCCTGCTTGCTCATTTGCCAGTGTTTTTATCTGAACATGTTTATTACCTAAACCTGTGTGTGTTCATTCAGCCGGTGTACAGGAAGTTACTTCCTCTGTACTACCCTCGCTCTGAAGACGAGGAGAAGGCCTCCCTGCCTCTCATCCCAGCTGACATCGGAAACTCTGAGGGTGAACCCGTCGTCCCCGAGAGACAGATCCGCATCGCAGAGAAGCCGGGAACCCTGGAAGGTACGCAACTAAAACAAAAACATGGCGCGATGTTTCACAGCCTTAGAAAAAGACTCGCAGTGTGTTTCTTTCCCATGTCAGAAAACACATCTGAAGAGTTGACGTTTTATTTTTTCAAGTGGTTGATATTAAATGTTGGAATCAGATTCAATACCAATTGTCCAAAAATCATTGGGTGCAAAATAAACTCACACAGTTTCTCCCTGGACTAAACTCCCAGAGAGCGCTGTGTTGTTCTTCTTTTATTCTTTGGAGTTCAACTTTGACCTCAGACTGATGAGACTCATTTTTCAGTTTGAGGCTCAACATAATGAACAGAAAAGTGAAGAAGAAGAAGATATACTTTATTGATCCCATGAGAGGAAATTCAATTTTACACTCTCTTCTTAATCATGCTACACACACACACACATACACAAACAGGATCCTATGAACATGCACTAATGGAGAGATGTCAGAGTGAGGGGGGGGTGCTCTTCAGCTGGTGGGGGTTCAGTGGCCTCCTCAAGGGCACCTCAGCAGTGCTCAGAAGTGAACTGGCACCTCTCCAGCTACCAGACCAGCTTCCATTCTTAGTCCTCAGCCGGATTTGAGCCGGCGACCCTCTGATTCCAAACCCAAGTCCCTTCAGACTGAGCTACTGTCGCCCCGCAAACAAAAAGAGTGTGAAGGTGTAGCTGTGATCGGTCAGAGTGGACCGTCTGTTCTTCCTCTGAGGAGAAGTCCAGCCGGCTCTTCTGTCACTCCGTCAACTATTAGTTAACTTTCCATTTAACTGCCAGTTAGTCGGCCTGTCATTATACCTGTAAACATGTTATCAAACCAACATAGTTCATCAGTCAACTGGGAATGAATGCATCCAGATCATACATCAATCTGCAGCCAGGGCTTCATATTTTCCTATTGAAGCAACCTGAACACACCTGAGTAGCAGTTCTCCTTAAGGTGTCTTTATCTCGTAAACAAAAGATACTTAAGACACAATGTTTGCACATGAACAAGGCTTTTTCCTCTGTCATTTAACTCAACATGTAATGCTTCAGTGCTTACAAGTGATTCGCAACATCACACATTAAAGTATGCTAAGATTCATTTACAAACCTTCTTTCAGACACTGCTGTATCCTGCAACATAAATGCTGTTGTGCAGCTGTAGGTCTACTCTTATTGTACAAGTCTAATGTTACTGGTGTTTTTTTTTTAACTGTACCATAGTTCATACACATCAATTGTACATAGGGTTTCTATTCTTAGTCCTGCATGGGTTATGTCTAATGTGAGTGTCCATCAAAGGTACAGTATGGTAGGTGTTTAGATTCCTCCTGAACATTTTTGCTCCACCATTGTTCTTGAGGAAGCACTAAGCTTTTTTAACCATTGTGTTTCCATAATTTGCTGGTGTACAGCTGGAGAGCTGACAGAAAACAAAAAGAGAGCAACAAGAAGAAAAGGCAAGCAACAAAAGGCTCAATCTGTGACAATCAGCTCCTTAAGTCCTGAGGTCAAAGGTTGAAAAATGGCAGATAGATATGCGAGTGATGGAAGATGCTTTTTTTTTTTTTTTTTTTTTTTTTTTTTTTGGAGTTCCAGAAACTACATCATGATACTTTGAAACCGTCCTTAAGGCTCACAAAGATATGTAGTGTTAGTTTGTACTTTGATCGGGCTCTGTTGTAAAGAAAATAAAGAGAGACAAAGAACTAACAGGGGAAATTAGACATTCTGACTATTAGCAGCTTCAGTTTTACGACGTTTAATCCTCATAAAAACTGTAATTTTTAAGACTTTTTTTTTTAGTTTACCAACCTCAGATTTTCTTGTTCTTGTTCCAAAAGTGTGAATTCTTGGTGAAGAAGAGGATATTCAAAGTAACACCAGCGCATGTGTTAGCGAGAGTTTGAGGTTTCTGCGTTGAACACGTTGCCTTCGCTGACCCTGCGACATGATGTCTGCCGGCGTGACGCTTCAAAGGGGCAAAAATGCGGCTTCTGGGTGTCGATCCAAAGCAAGCAAAGCTGTATGTGATTGCAGCCCAATAACAACAGGCTGCTGTATACACACTGACAGACACACATGCCCAATGTGGATGTAGATGAGATGCATGGTCATGCGTGTGGCCGATCGGTTCATGTGGTCGTTTAAAAACAAGAAACAAAGCCTTAGTTCTGTCCTCAGAGTTTTATGACCTCACTGGCAGCTTCACACAAACACACACACACAAATAATTTCACGCTTTCAGAAGAATTATGATCAGGCAGCAAAAACACAGAACTTCTTTTATGGGAAAAACACATCAGAGATAAAAATTAAGCGATGTCCTGCATCATTGGCCAGTTTAATTTTATTATGAGTAATCTTAAAGGTCTTCTTTTGTCTTTTTTATATCAAACCAATGATGTAAGTCTCTGATTTTCCTACATTATCCCCCTCTAGTGCATCAAACTTTGCCCTAACTTTATTCAACGTCTGCTGCAGTGACTACATGAAGGCAAGTCACGTACAGTGAAAGTGATTCACTGTTTGTCATCTTCTCTTTGTTTGTTGTTGTAGACGATTCTGAAGAGGAGAGTCTGGAGTCCGATCTGGGTCAGGTGGGGACTCACGCCTTCGCCCGGATGGAGGGTGACGTGGACAAACAGCGCAAACAGATCCTGCAGGGCCAGATGTCCGAGGCGGCGATTCAGAAACAACACCAGAGAAAGTAAGAGCCAAACGAGACACTTAAAATAAGATAAAATGATTTAAGATTGTGAAAATTCAGCTTTATGTATGACAAAAAATCCAATCCAAATGTATTTGTAAAGCACATTTAAAAACAACAAAAGTTGACCAAAGTGGGGGCGCCGGTAGCCTAGTGGTTAATATGTGTGACCTATGTACAGAGACCGAGGTCTGAAGAGAGAGAGAGAGGGCTTGTGTTTCAAGGTTAGATTTAAGAACATGAAGCATGGGGGGGCAGATCAACATGTGGAGGCAAGGCGTACCAGAGTGTGGGTGCTGCTACTGAAAAACGCTCCTGAGCTTCAACTTAAACCTCAGGATAGTCAGACGCAACTTATCTTTTGATCCGAGTGTCCGTGATGAACGATGAGGTTTTAAAAAGGTCAGACAGATGAGAAGGAGCCAGCCCGTTTAAAGTTTATAAGTCAGTAATAATATCTTAAAATCAATCCCAAAACACACAAGGAGCCAGTGAAGTGAATTAAAAATAGAGGAGTTAAGCTCATTTGCTAGTTAAAAGACGAGCTGAGGCGTTTTGATCAGGCTGAAGACGATTAGGAGAGGCTCGCCTGACGACAACATGAAGTGCATGACAATAATCCAGACGTGTGGTGATGAAAGCGTGCACATACTTCTCTAAATCAGGGAAAGATGAAAGTTGGGTTGATGTTAATTAGCATTGTTAGAATTGGCACTTACAACTCTGGGGTTTACAATTTCTGCCTGCAACAGGTGTGCAACAAAGGGACATAGTTAGACTTAAACTTGGGACACTCTGGGTGCAGGTGTGTTTTCTTTTTTTTTTCTTAGGTTTTTATGTCTTTATTTAGAGACTGGACAAGTGGACAGATTTAGAAATATGAGAGAGCGAGAATGGGGAGGGACATCTAGAAAAGGAGCCACAGTTTAGAGTCGAACCCGAGTCGCCCGCTTGGAGGACGATAACCTCTGTACATTGGGACTGGCTACTGGCGCCCCAGGTGTGCATTGTAGACCTCAAGGCCTTAGAGACGCCTTCACACACAAAATCAAGCCTGTAAACAGAAGATACAAAAATAACACTTTAGTATGACAACACCTCTTGGGCCTTTTTACGACCTTGTTTCAATCATTTTCTGCACTTTTATACGTAAACTCTGACGCTCAGGTGTCTTTGTTTTTTCACCTTTTATTGTCATCTGGTTGTGAAATTAGGCCGTTTACAGGTTTCTACGACACCCACACACGTTATTATATAAAGTCTTTATGTGCCTTGTGTTTTCTCTGCATTCTTGTGTCTAGTAAATAATTAAACAGGCAGGTCCAACACCAGATGTCCAGCTGTTTACCTTATTTAGCTGGTTATGAAACAACAGACTGAAATGAAGACGATGTCTATTTATGAACTACGGAAGCAAACGACACCAGCAGTAACAGGAATTACTTTTTTCTACATTGCTAATATAAATGCCTAAACCTGTGAAGGGTCAGGTGTCGGGCTAGGTGATTACCTGCTCTCTGCCAAAACATTTATTCAGCATTTTCCACCGCAGAGGTTCTCAATGAGTGATACGACTGACTGTTAACAGAAAGACGGATGAGATCACAAGCAACACAAACCGATCGTTCCTCATAGAAGCTTTAAATGATGTGGTGACCACATCACCTCCGTCCTTCATAACCTCCACTGGCTCCCCATCCCCCAGCATATCCACTTCAAACTCCTCATCATCACCTACAAAGCCCCTCCTCCCCCTACCTGTCAGAGCTCCCCCACCAGCACCTCCTGTCCCCCCCCCTGCAGGACAAACTATCAGTCCTGGGGGGACAGGGCCTTTGCAATTGCCGCTCCCGTCCTCTGGAACTCACTCCCAAAAACATCAGACTCACCCTCCACATTCAAGAAATCCCTAAAAACTCACCTCTTCTACATCACCTACAACCACTAACAATCTCAACTCTCATCCTCCTTCCTTTACAATATTTCTTTGTTGTATTGTTTTTGGCGTTTTGTTTTGTTTTAATTTCATTTCATTTATTATACAGGCAAGTTTAAAAGTAACATTAAGTTACAGTTTAACGGGCCTGACTCAGTTTAAAAACTGGTTTCCAGCAGGTTCCTGTTCTGCGGAACATGAAACATACACCACAGTCATGACACATCAAGACAAACACATTTACAGGACGTTCGTATGAGCTAGGCAAATACAGGACTTCCTAGTTTTTAACATGTCACTCCATTCATGTGAGTTTATATTTGAAGTATTTTAGATGCTTTTCCTGCACGTCGTTTACAGTATATGATGCATGTTGTATCCAGAAACTAAAAACTAAGACCCCTTTCTGTGTCTGAATCTCTCCTGCAGTTACAACCGCTGGCTGTGTCGGGCGAGAGCAGAAGATCTGTCGGACATCGCTGCACTGAAAGCTTTATATCAAACTGGTATGTGTTCATGTGTGAGGAGCACAGGGAGAGAGAGAGAGAGAGAGAGAGAGAGAGAGAGAGAGAGCGGGGTCGTGTCTTAGTTAGATCCTTGTCATTGTGATTCTGTCAAAACAGAGAGGCGTGTGTGTCTGATGATTCTTTGCCTGGTGAGAGTGTTTCTTTCACCTCATGGAGTACAAAACATCTTCATCTTCATCTCCTCTCTCTGACTCTAGCTCAATTCACTCTCATAACCAGTAGGAGGCGATGTTGCTGTAGAGATTGATCTGATTGTTGCATTCCTAGGCCAGTTGTTCCCTGATGCCTCATTATAAATCATAATTGCCCTCTTAGCTTTTCTGAGCCTGTCAAATATTTAGACCCATGTTGTGAACTCGATGACCCCTCTTTCTCCTGACTTAAAAAAAGGTAAAATGAATGCAATAAAAATCAGACAAATAATGAAACCAACCAAAAATCACCAAACATATTATCTCATGATCATCATCAGGACTTTGGGGCTTTTGTTTTTATCTACCAGCTTCTCTGATAGTGTCCTCACTTTGCATAAAAAAATAAAATGATTAAAAAAAAAACAGAAGACCTGTTTTTATAGTTTATCAGGTAATCAGGGATTTTAACTTTCTGTTTTTGTATAAAAGTTTGGTTTAGAAATGTTGAACTAGACAAGGAGTATTATAGATATGAAAATGATCAAAACGTAAAAGCGGGGTGCAAAGGTGGTGTTGTTGCCTCACAGAGAGGAGGTTCCTGGTTTGAATCCCCGTCTGACAGGAGCCTCTCTGTGTGGAGTCTGCATGTTCTCTCCGTGCAAGTGTAGGTTTTCTCCGGGACTCTAAATTGCCCGTAGGTGTGAATGTGAGTATGGCTGGTTGTCTGTCTCTTTATGTCAGCCCTGTGATTGACTGGTGAACAGTCCAGGGTGTAACCCCGCCTCTCGTCCAATGATGGCTAGGATCGCCCTCCCTGCGACCCTAAATGGGAAAAACTGTTCAGATAATGGATAGATGGAAAACTGAAAAGCAAAAACAGTTAAAGTTTTGGGCTGCAGGGAGACCTCAGTGCGACCCCAGCGATGAAGGGAAGTGAACGAATGAGAAAGAAAATAAAATCTATGGCTTCAAAGATGCCATTAAAAGCACCGGCACACTCCTCGTTTTAAATTTAGATCCTGATTGTACCTCATGGTCATGCGACAGGATGAAAAGATTTGTATTGTGTTCAGTAAAAGTAAAAATCAGGTTTAAAAAAAAACTCCAGCCCTTGATTATTGAACACAGAACCAGCATGAAAAAACTGTTTAAACAAAACACAGCCCTCTGAAGAATTTCACATGCACCGCAGAATACAAACACAAAATCAAGAACACCATCGAGTACACATGCGATGCGGCTGAGCTGCTGTAATACCAACCGCTTTTTTCTAAAGGAATGATGTCACTCCTTGTATCGGGATAGGTTTTGATTTGCACAGGGAGGCAGCGAGGCCAAGTGAGCTTAGAGGCTGCAGAGCGTTACACAGAAGGGAATTTCCGGGTAGTTAAGTTCGTATAACTGCGCTTACATTTTGGCAAACGGCAGAGTGGTAACTCAGATCAGACGAGACCGGGACATCTTAAAACTGCATATAAATCAACGCTGAAGCTTTTTAATTTAAAAGTCGTTATAATGGTTTCATCCAATCAGAGGTGCAACAAACAGATTCTTACTTTAGAATCATTAAAAAGCAGAAAATCAAGATCAGTGAGGAGTAAAAACCTTATGATTGTTTGGCAACATTTCATATTAGCGGTCAGAGGTCATATCCATTCTGCGATATATTGTCGTCTTGACTCGTGTGATGCAATTATCAAAATGCTGGAGTAAAATATTGAGGCGCTCTAATCAGATTTCCCAATTTGAATCACTGCGTCACCACTTTATGACTCCTCAAGGCATGAATGAGAAAAATGTGAACAGAGGATTACTGAAAGTGGGTAAAGAAGTAGATGATGTCAAATAACGGTGAAAAGAAGAGATGAGGCGTGATACGAGGTGAAACTGACACTAAGTCGCTGTAAATACATTAAACCTGCTTTTTATATTCCTCTGTAATGCTATGCCCCAAAAATCCAAATCAGTCATGTCCTGATCCTGAGTTACCATTATTTTTCCACTCCTGTTATACAGTTATTGTATTTATCTAAAAACTAGTCATCGACTCAATTAACCAAATATTCTCAGCTTTTTATTAAATTTGTTACAAGGTCACAGGTAACATCAGTCTGCAACATTTTTCAACAAATACCTCTGTGGTTCTTTCGGAAACTTTGCAAATTGTATCCTTTCAAGTGGCATGCCAATTAACGAGGCGGTCAACAGACAAAGTGTGTGTGCCTCTGTTTCTGTCTTTTTTTAAGTTAACCTATGATTTGTAACCTTGGTGGAAATTGTGTGTGTCCAGGTGTGGATCTGTGCGGCAGGACAGTGATGGTTATTGTTGGACGAAACATCCCGGTGACCCTTATCGACATCGAGAAGGTAACAAACTAAAAATAAATAATAATATGTTTTAAAATAAAAAGCCTCTGTATTGACTTCAAATCTGTATCTGTATTGAGCACTTCTATTGATGTGGGACACTGAGTGTTGTGTTTGTGTTGACACTTCTTACACAACCTATTTGCATGTCTTGTACTCTCATGTGCTTCTGTTTCATAAGATGTTTCTTTTTGCATGTTTCGAGCAGCTGTTTGTGTGTCTCTGTCACTGCTTTCACATGTGCCTTCGGCCAACTACACAAATGTATTTTGTGAGTGTGCAGATGTATTTGTAGTCCTAAAGACCTTTTGTACACTAATACTGAAGAACTATTTGAGTCTACTGTTACTGACCCTTAAAATGAACCACCTCGTACGGACAGTGCTACAGCCGTAAGAAAGTCAAACTTCACCTGTGAATGAAAAGGAGTCATCAGATTGAGTCTGTGTTTGTGTGTGTCTGTGTGTGTGTGTGTGTGTGTCTGTGTGTATGTATGCAGGCTCTGCTCTACTTCATCCACGTGATGGACCACATCACAGTGAAGGAGTACGTCATGGTTTACTTCCACACACTGACCGGGGAGCACAACCACCTGGACCCCCACTTCCTCAAGAACCTCTTCGACATCGTTGATACCAAGTCAGTCTTTTTTTTTACACTAAAATATCAAAATTAATGGAAAATTTACTTAACCCATGTTATAAATATATTTTGTTGTGTACCTACATTACCTCACATATGTCCAACAGTTATCAAAGCCAGAGAAATCTCTAATTTTATAGTTTGAAATGGACGTGTCTTGTCTTGGTGGCCGCCATGACAGACACGTCACCTTTAGCGTTGCCATGGAAACACCTGATGTTATGTCAAAGACCGCTGCATAAGGAAGCGTGAGCTGCTACTGAAAGCTGCCGTTCTGTTGCTGTGTGTGCTGCTGTGATAAAAGCGTCATGTAAATTATACTCGGATACATTAGCTCGTCTGTAAACATCTTCTCTTCCTCAGGTCGGTTTTGCTCATTTGTCTTGATTACGATCAACTATAAGTTGGTTTTGATTTTGATCGGGGTTGGGGGGGAAATAGCAGAGAGAGTCACTCCCATGATTCCCCGCCAGCCTCGATGTCATCTTTTGAGAGCCCCCTGGTGGCAGAATTTAAATACTGTGCCTTTAAACTGATAAAAATAATACCTTAGCATCTCTGAGTAACTTCTTCTGGGAGGAGGGCTGAAATGTTAAATTTCTCACTTTGATTTAAAGAGATTTTTTGAAGTGAAATCGAAGGCTAATTCAATTCCACGCTGGCCTACTTTTTGTAATTTTGGCCTCTCTTTCTTCTGTTTTGTCAGAGACTCTGTAAGTCATTATTGCTTTAACATGCCATCCTCCCAAGCTCACATCTTTAAAGTTCTGTGCTGTATCGGTGTTTCAACTCTTTTGGCCAGTGATATATTTGATCATTAATTGCCAGAACTTGATATCAAACAAAGAGGATGAATTTTTCTTACAAGAAATTATGCTAAAAATGTGTTAGAAAAGTTCTCCAGATGGAACTTGGGTCTGACAGCTCCTTGGTATTAGGTTGCTTTTCTGTATTTAATCAATAAGGTACTTTGCTAAGCCATTTGCTTTCACTTAAAATAATATATTAGTGTATTATAAGCATTATCTCTTGCCTCCTCTTATCCAGATTTGTAGCTGGATTCAATAAAATCGAAACTCAAAAAAGCTCAATCCTCTGTTAGGCCTGGCTGTCATTGTGACTCAGGTTTGGCCTTCCATTTTGGCTCTGGTGACTCTGCTGACTTCTGCAGCTGCATCAAAGTTCAGATATATTGTTCATGCAACAGTGTGACACGGCCAAGGTAACAGTGTTTTGACTTTTGGAAAAGCAAAACGAGCTGTGAAATGTTTTTGCTCCTCCATGGGTTTTGGAAATCTGGCGGCCATATTTGGAGCAGGAAACCCAAACTGGGAGCGCGTGCTTTGGGTCATGTGTTTGGCGGCGACTCAGCCTTAATCAAAGGGTTCACAGTTTGGAAAGAAGATCCTTTAGCTCAGGATAGTCCTTTCATACATATCACTTACAGAACTTGAAATTAAACAGGCGTTAAATTTGAAGATATGGATTCAGTAGCTCCTCCAATTACAGCTCCAAATAGACAAAATGCTGAAGAATGTTGCAATGGATAGCCCATTTACTTTACTGTGTTTTACATTAAATCTAAACAGCATACAGACAAGTTATCTTATTGTGACAACATGTATTTCATTGCAAACGTGAAACAAACATCTTAAGATCAATATGTGGATGATGTTATTTATCCCTGGAACAGATGCAGTCAGAAAGTCGACCCTTTGTCTGATCTTAATATGAAATTCTATTGAGAAATGTTAAAAAAGTCCAAGACTGTGAATACACTGTGTCATCAAATAGACAATATTTGGACATCAAATACTTTACACATGGTGTCAGATGTTGAATAACATTTCATCCCTCTGTTTGCAGTCTGAGATAAATAACTACGGATGATGTGAAGTCAAATAGGAGCCACCACATCCTGCAAAAGAAAACCAGAACTGTTTAGAGTTTCAACAAGCCACCAAAATAGACCCCACAGTTCTGTGTTATCTACTGAAATGGGATACTTGAAACCCAATCGGGCGCTGTGCTGAATCCACTGTCTGCAGCCAAGGAGTGTTTGATTCTCTTTGAATATACCACAAATATGTCCAGCTGAATGAAGGAAAATGCCTTTGCTGTAATGTTAGAGAGTTCTCATTTGATGCAACAAGGAATTTGTTGAAAAAAAAAAGCATTTCAGATTCTAGTGTCTAAAGACGAAAGGAACACAAGCGGTCAGATGATGAGCGGCGCGGCGCCAAGCAAAGGTTAAGGCTAAGCTAAGTATGGTCTCGGTTTTCTGCACCGTCAAAATATAGCAAACTACTTACAGCATTCGGGTGACTTTTCATGCTTGTCCATGGTAGGCCAGTTTCAAATTGCATATTTGGCACATTGCCTTTGTCTTGTCTTCACTTAATTTAAAGTGTTTCAACACAGCTGAAGTCTTCGGCATTTTGTCTCCCCTTTAACGGCCAAGGTGAACTGAAGTGTGACGTTCACTGACCGCTGTGAGGATACGAATAAAAGAAAATAATGAATATTCAAATCACAAAATTAATAATCGTTTGCCTACCCGACAAACGGATAGCCGAATATTCAGGTCCAGCCCTAATGTAAGCATTAACATACTGGAATTTTTCTTTAGTGTTTAAGCCACAGTTCACTGTTTCTAAGCTTTGAAGCCAAATAACGTTGTTGCATATAGAACATTTAGGCATCCACAAAAAGGCAGAAACTAAACAAAAGAAAAAAATGGCAGGGCCAAATGAGGTTATTACACTTGCTCTCTTTCTAGTTTCTAGTAACCACAACCAAGCAAACTTCCTGTGTTGGTGGGAAACTCCATTCAGTCATTATGCACCTCTCAACCCCCGGGTTCCTTCAGAGAATGGTCATTCAGTTAGTTTCATCAAACCTTTTTTCAACCTTTTCTGTCTGGAGCCTTTAGTCAGGCCCTTAAATGAGAAATGTAGGAACATATCCCTGATGTTTGCTCTTTATTTTACATGAGACGTATATATACTGCTGTAGTGCTTTGATTCAGGAAGTATATTTCAGAATTTTAAGAGAGTGAACAAAAAAGGAAGCTACCCAAAATGCCCCATTCATACAATCAACATGAAATAGGAATGAAGACACCTTCATTCAGTTTCCTCTTTCACTGGAACAAGGAAACCCCATTCATGTCATCAACAATAACCACGAGCATACGCAGCTCAGGATGAAACACTAATCACCTTAAAATGTCAAGTTTATTTAAAATTCCCCATACTCTGTACAAACTTTAAGCTTTGTCTCATGAAACCTTATTATTAAAATTTGTGCTGGTTACACTGCAATTAGCCATGGTACGGCAGTCGCCAACTTGCTGACTGTAATATTTTAAAGTTGATGCTTTTGTTTATCTGTTTTGTCCTGGATTTGCACTTCGCTTGTAGGAAAAAGTAGCAGAAAAAACAAAGATCTTGTTTCTTCTGAGACATTTGTCATTAGCAGTGACCTAGTCTTGGTGTCTCCCAATGTCTTTGTAAGCAATCATCCTCTACTCTTATTCCATTGCTAATTTTTTTTAAAGGTTGGTTTTATATGTAATGTATCAACAGACAAGCCCTAGGGACCAATGGAGCCAGCTCTGAGAGCTAAAGGTCACTTAAAGCTTGATCTAAAGGGGATCAACCCCTGTCAATGTCCTGTAGTTTCCCAAAATGTAATACTTAACTCTACAGCCAACCTTCATCTGCTAATATTAATCAAGTCTTACTTTATAACTTTCCCTTCCCAAGCAGTAACTTCTCTTTTGGCTCGGCATGGCAGTGTTGATCTTTTTAGGCAATGGAACCTTTAACCTTGTCCTGGCATGTCCAGCAACCAATAACCAATCGAGACATTGATTTGCTACAGATGCATTTAGGCTCCAGACAACCTAACCAGCAGACTAAAGTAAAAAATGGCCACAAGTTTTCCAAAGCTGTCAGGCTAAGTGGGGGATATGATGAATGCTTTCTTGAGGCAACAGATGAGCCTTTGATTCTGATCTTTATTTTGGTCCACAAGGGGTCCAGCATTGGACCAGAGCTGGAGCCGCACATCATTGTTTATTACTTCTGATTCATCTCTTGAGTTCGTCTGTCAATGAAAAGATCAGATTTCTCCCACTGTTGGCCAGTTGTTTTTTCTTATATGAACAGATGACTCTTACCACTGCCAGACCACCCTAATCTGTGTTTGGCTTGACAGTACAAACTGTTGCAAATGTGGCAGGTTATTGTCATTGTACTGCCATGAAATAGACTGCCAATTCTCCACCACCAGTGTGCTGAGTGGATTATAGATGACTTGACTATTAACATCATTCAGTCTGTTTGTTTTTTGATCATTTTATAATCATAGCTTAAATCAGCTTTGGTTCGTTAATGTTAAAGATTTACCCTGAAGGTCTGTGTCATGGGCCTGCTTTGGTATTATTGTCATATGTAAATCTGGGACTGGCAGAAAGGGTTGAAGCCCCCCCCTCTCCCCCATCTTTTAGACAAGAAAGCTGAGAACTTGCTTCCAAATATTAGGAAAACACTATCTTAACTGGCTTGTATTGGCTCGGTTACCTCAGGATTGCTTCTAGTCCCTTTGAAAGATGGCTATGACCATATCTGTAAATGGTCACTTTCAATCCCTGGATGTAATTATCGTATCTGCTGCTTTAAGCCAATAATGTGGTTTTCTTGCTTTAATGGACCATGATTTCCAACACACATTAGGGTGGTTTGCAGCCAAGGGTGAAGTGTTTGGGTTTAGGGTCAGTTCCTACTCTCAGTTCATGGGTCTTTGCCATATAATGGTGGGTTGCTCCCTGCTGTGTCAGGACTGTGTATTGTCCCTAGTAAAGGAGTTCATTTTTGATTTCCAAGAGGCTTTATCAATAAAGGGAGAGACAAAAATCCCTGTGGACATGGCAACCAAGGTCTAGTCCAATTAATAATGTCGTAGCCGGTTACATATCGATGGCAGTCATTCCACATTGATCCCTCTAACATCATTGAGACCTGTCTTAAAAAAACATCTCACCCTCACCCAACCAACCCCAAAACAGAATAACATTGCAGTGATATACCTTGGACATTGTCTAATGATAATTTGAATAGCGACCCTAAAATCAACAACAAATCAAAGCCATGAAGCGTGATGTAGCACTGGGCTGTTTGGCAAGCGAACTATTCACAACCCCCAATTAGTATCAACAGCTACCACCTTGGGTGTTTACAAAATGGCCTTTAAAGCACTTTAACCCACCCCCATATTGGGTACGTTTGTAATTGGCCTGACCTAAATCAAGTTTGATGGAAATCTATCAGAATGTGACAAGGCCAGAAGTAGGAGCCAGAGAAAATAAAAACATTTCCTCACATATTTGTCTGATGCCCAGGGTACAACGAACCAGACTGTTGAAGGAGGGGGAAGTTTTTGAGAAGGTGAAGCTCTCTTTTTACTTCTGTTCCAATCCCTCACCTCATGAGATCATGGAGACAAGTCACTCAAATGAGTTTTCCTTGCAGACTGATTTGGCTCACCATGAGGGACAAGATCAGGATTTCAGCTAACGTGGTTCTCATGTATGAATAGTTTTGATCAGGGCGGCATTGTACAATAGTTTGCTTTGGCTTCCATCAACAAACCATTAATTATCCCATCAAAGCATCTGTCCACTACGGATTAAACATGATACAACCGACACATTTGCCCAATATTTGCTCTGGCATTTAAAATAATACAAAATTATAATTTGTATTTGATAACCTGTCAACGGTCTGATTTGTTGGAGGTACTGGAGGCCATAATGGAAATCATGCCATTACTTACCACTCACATTGTCTTGTCAAGAACCCCATTTTGTCAATCAGGACTTCATCGTGGCACCAGAGGAGTCTGGATCAGGTTAACCTCAGAACTTAAAACAATGATTAATTTCGGATACATTTTCTCTTGTCTTGTCCAATTTGAATGATAAACCATCCATTTTTTGTAATGTTTTAACTCTGAATGAACCCAACATCTTAGAGTGTAACAAAACCAAATCCAGCTGACAAAGTCATTCATCTTCATTCGGTTGAATAATAACAATCTGAACTGTTTGTTGAATCACCTCAAAGTGACAAGTTTGCTGAGAAGAATTATATTTGAATGGAGATTAATTTTTCTCTCATGTTAGTGAGTGAGCAACAAATTATATGTTGATCAGGATTTTGTTAGTTGATTTATGACAAAATGCCAAACTGCCTCTACATAAGTATAAGGGTTAAATGCTGACATATCACATAAAAGATGACATATTATCCCCCTTTTCCACCTTTTCAAATAGTCCCCTGTGGTCTAAATGAAACATCTGTGCTGTGCTTTGGTCAAAATATAACATGAATCAAGCACCAGAGGAAGTTTGTGACCCTGTATAAACCAGCTCTCTCAGAACGCTCCATTTTGGTGTGTGTGTCTCTTTAAATGCAATGAGCACCCCCTGAGTTTTCCCAGTAGACATCCCTCCTTCACTAGCGAGAATAAAAATGGCGAACCAGCAAAAAAGTTTTGCTCTAGGCTGGAGGTGAAGTCTATGTGTGTAGATACCAGGGGGGAGTTTTTTTATTTTTATTTTTTTTATTATTTTCTTTAAACCAGAATCCCACTGTGATGTCACAAAGAGAGTAAATCTGAAACAGAGCATTTTCTCTGTGTTGTAAGACTTATGTAGACCACAAACAAAGGACTGGATGGGTTTATTTCACATTTTGTGGGTCTGTAGACACTCAGGTTACTCAAATAACTGTTCAAAAACATTGTAAAATTTGATTTTTCATAAAATGTCCCCTTTAAATATTTTTTCGGGCTTTTTATGCCTTTATTGTAGAGATAGGACAGTAGATAGAATGAGAAATCAGGGACAGAAAGAGTGAGGAATGACGTGCAGGAAATGAGCCACAGGTCAGATTTGAACCTGTGCCTTCCACTTTGAGGACTACAACCTCTGTACATGGGGTGCATTCCCTGACCACTCAGCCCCCGGCATCCCAATTCTTATCAACATAAAGTGCTATGTTAGCATGGAAGTTTTATGAACAGTCTTCTGGGGCATCAAAGACCTTCTCATAAATGCGTTCACTCCGTACTTGGTTCACCACCTTTGTGACACAGATATTCTTTCATTTTAATCTCTAAATTCTCTAACAGTTTCGAAGTCAGTCAAAAGCTGCTGAGGTGCTCTTGAGCAAAGGACCTGAACCCCCCCTCACCAGCTTAGGAGCACTTGCTGTGTGCATAGAATAGAATAGAATTACTTTATTGATTCAGCCTGTGTGTGCAGCATGTCTCAACAACAGAGTGTAAAATTGAATTTCCCCTCACGGCATTAATAAAGTATATCTTCTTTCTTCTTCCAGCTCCACACAGTTTAGGCAAACATTCTCCAGGCGAAGGTCTAAGTTTACATTTCATTGCATTACATCAGCTTTACATACTTTACACTCTGCACATGTGTTAAAGTTAGAGTGCTGCGTAAGAGGCTGAAAAGAATGTGCAGTGTTTCTGTGCTGATGGCTGACTTGGAGCTGATTGTCTGCACACACAGTAATATTCTTTGGGACAGCAAATACAGTGACCTCACACACATCTTGTCTTCTGTTTCAGGAAATGAATCCCTTGACTTCATCTCTGTCATACTCTTCATTTGAACACACACTCTGTTTAATGTCTCTGCTGTCTCTTAGAAACAGTGAGTCATATAAGGGTTACGTGCTGAAGTTTTGTGTCTTTTGTATTTTAGGTTCAAAAAGAATTTAAAGGCCTTCTACTATGTACATCCAACGTTTCGCTCTAAGGTAAGATTATGTTGCACAGTGAAAAAGAATGATACTAGCATAAATTGTGATTGTTCTGTTCATCAACTAGTTGTTCTAGCATCTTATACATTCTTGTGAAACCAATTTTCTTTTGTGGTTTTATGTGTGAGACTTTCTACTAAACTTTGATCAGAGAACTCTTATCCAGTGTTGACAAACTTACCCACCATGATGAGTAAATTGTGAAAATACAATAAAACACGTAATCACTACAACATTTGCGGTAGAGCAGCATAATCGCTTAAAATACCAAAGTGGTTATTTATCTACTTCACTCTTTTCAAAAAAAAAATTTTGTTTTGAAAAAGCCCTGACATCTCCAGAATATACAAAATTATCCAAAACCAATATGTTGTCCAACACGGTGTATCTCTGATCCTGATGCGTGATGTGTATTAAGTACGTGTTTGTTGTCAGAATAACACATCTAGAAAATGTTGCGGACTTGTTAGTGATTGCATTCTGACTGCTTTCTCGTTTATTTCTATTTCATTGTTGTTTACTTGACCTGTTCTTTACTGTTCTTCCGCTCTGGGATCATTAAAGTTGCATTAGACTTGTTCTGCTGTTTCATTAGAAGTAGTGTTTTTGTTTTGTCTTTTGTTAGTTGTTGAAGGAATAATATCTTGAGATCAAAGTCTATCCATAACCGATGAACTGATAACTTAGTTATAACTCCCACGGTTTCACTCCAGGTCTCGACGTGGTTCTTCACCACCTTCAGCGTGTCTGGGATAAAAGACAAGGTTCGCTACTTGGACAACCTGCAGCAGCTCTTCACCGCCATCAAACCTGAGCAGATCGACATCCCTCCATTCGTCCTGGAGTACGACGCACGGGTAAGCATCAAAACACACATTAGGACTAAATGTAATCCTGACTTTCAATCATTGACATTTAACATCAGATGGATGATCATTGGTTTGTTTATGGAACTTTTAACCGACCACGATGTAGCCTCAGGGAGCAACAGTCAACTTCCCCGAGCTTCAGGTTTAACCATCAGCTGTCGATAAAGTCCATCAGGACACGACTTCCTTAACTTTGTGCTGCAGGCCACACTCACATACTTTGAGTTTACTTACCACTGAATGAGACATGAGACGACGTAGTTTCTACACAATGCAAGAGATGAGCTGAGGTCCGCTTCTTGGGCAACGGTGTTCGTGCATGTTAGTGAGTGGCGTGGCTTTAGAGGGAGCACAGAGGGGAGGGGGTGCAGACAGAGCACTGAGGGAATACTACTTTAAAAATCATGCTAGTTTTCCAAAATTACCAACCCTGCCTTTAAATGAATAACTTCCTTTTCTGTATTTCTGTGTTCATAGAAGCAAAGAACAAACACAGTCATCATGTAGAGTCACATGTTGTAGCGCAGCATGTCTCCTGCTGCTTATTGTGTTTTAATGAAATGACTCCCTTTTGTCCTCACATAACAAATCTAAACACATATGTTTTTTTTGTTTAAACCCTTTTCATTGGCTGGTTTTGAAAGGATGAGAAGCAGAGCAGAGATCCATTACAGAAAAAAGCTTTGATAATTTATCCATGTTTGATGTTTCTTCTTCTTACTGATGCAAACCAGAGGAGAGGAAATGGAGTAACAATCAGTGCATGACTTACTCACTGTGTGTGTGTGTGTGTGTGTGTGTGTGTGTGTGTGTGTGTGTGTGTGTGTGTGTGTGTGTGTGTGTGTGTGTGTGTGTGTGTGTGTGTGTGTGTGTGTGTGTGTGTGTGTGTGTGTGTGTGTGTGTGTGTGTGTGTGTGTGTGTGTGTGTGTGTGTGTGTGTGTGTGTGTGTCTTAAGAAATTACACCAATTCATCAGAGTGCTACAACCTCAATTAAACTGAGATCGTCCAGAATACTCTGTGCTAATTTCTCTTTTGAAATGTGCGATCTGATGTGAAGCTGATTGAATGAACTCGCTGATATCAGACGTTTGATTTAAAAACACTCTGGTGCTGATAAAAACGAGTAACTGCAGCTTTATGAAACGTCTCTCTTTTACACCAACCTCTGACACAGAGCTGCTGGCGGAAACGTTGAGACCACCAAACTGAGGTTCATGACCGTTCTGAATTCGAGCCAGTTTGTTTAAAAAGAAAAAATATGTCAAATTAAAACATCAGAAAGTCTTCATGTCCAGTTCTTTGGATACAAATGAAAGATCCAGTGGTCGTGTTTGTATCCTTTATGATCCGTTATTGGCTTGTTTCTGACTCTGTATTTTGACTTCATGGTTTGTGAGGTTTGTGTTGGCTGATAAAAGTATAAACATGTGCCTCGTCTTCGGTCGTATCTTGGATTGAGGATGAGAATGGAGGCGGACTCAGCCAAGTTGAGATAAAAAACCTTTTGTGTTTCGGATTCTTCTGACAGGATTTGCTGAAGGTCACATGAGAGGTATGATGTATGCAACAATCTGTCATGGCATGGCATGATTTATCACCAGGCGGGACTTAATTTGAATTTCGATGACAGTTCAATAGTAGTGAAAGCAACACTTTAGGGTAGAGCCCGACCGATTAATCAGCAGATATTATCATATCCAGTGACTATCATTTGGCTGCTTTTATCACAGATATGCGCCGATATTAAGAGATTTATTTTACCAGTTCTCTTTCTGACTGTCACCAGTAGAGGGCGCTATATGGATTACAACAAACATCATATCTCTCCCCATTAGAGATATCGATATCGGCCACATAAATCCATATCGGTCGGGCCCTAATAGAGCTCAACAGTGTGGTTCTAGAATTTAAAATCCCATTCATTTTCTCCATAGATCTGTTTATTATCCATGATGTCATAATAGCAATCACAGGTAGACTGACCAGGAGCTACCTGAGTATGAAACAATGGTTAATGCTCCTGCTGAAGTTGATGACAGAAAAAGGAACTCACTGTGGCTCAAAACTAAATGAAAGCAGCTAAAGGGAACCTTTGGAAAGTGAATAGTCTAATGTCATGAGGTGGATTTTACTTTTGACTCGTCAACTGAGCCGTCTTGGAGTTTGTTTTTTTTTTAAATGAAATGAGACATTTAAAGGTGCAGCGCTGTGACCTATATTTGCCCTTGAGTCAGAAGTAATTACTGTTTTAGTCAGACGCAGAGTTCCTACCTCTGTCTGATCACTATTAAGATTCTGTGCTGCTGCTGTCAGTGTTCACTTAAATGAAACTGTTCCAAAGGTCAGCCTCGGTGTCTTTCAGAGAACTTTACCACCAGTATGTGAACACAAAGAGTTTGATTCCCCTTGAGCCGTAGCACACTGTATTTCCCTCTTTCTCAGCACTGCAGCGAGCCAATGAACTGGGCAATAACTTTCATATCAACACGTGTCCGTTTGCTCTGCTGGGCTGAATTACCACGCCGCTGGAAACAGTCCAGGAAACACTGGTTCCTTTAGTTCATTTAAAGGAACCCTGATTCAGAGAAAAACAGTAAACACTCGACATCACAGATACGCTGTGAATGCAGTTCTTTGAATCAACCTGAGGAGATATGGAATAAATATAAATCTGACAAGTTGTCACGTCAGCGTTTCTACGACCACAAAGCAGAGAGGAACTCTAAGACAAAGATGATGTGCAGTAACATATACAGCTCGGCTTGCTTTGTGGAGCTTCATATTGACTTTACAGCAAAGTTTAACAATTAAAGATTCTCAATTTAATCATCCAGTGTCACTGCTTTCAAAGTTCTGTTTTGCTCCAAACAGACACAGTCAGTCAATATCTGGAAAGAAAGATGCAGCGTTTCATTCGGCAGATTTACAGCCTCATGTGTTTCCTTCAGAAGTTGGTCGAACCAAAACTGAACTAAAAGAGAGTTCACATCAGATGAGAAAACTTACTTCATTTCTCATGCATGTGTTTATGTTAAGCTTGCGATCATGTTCTCAAACTTAAAGGGGATGATATGAAAGTGTTTTGATCACAACAAAAAACAACCAAAAAATAAATAATGGGGCTTTCACAGTTGCAGAAAATGCCTGAAAAACTCCTGAAGTTTGCAGGAGGAGATGTTTGTGTGAGTTTCTCCTGAATTCACCTCGAGGCAGTGAGACGGGGCGGCGACGTTTATATCCTGTGACTGCTGCACAGTGCATAGACTGTATGCAAAATCTCTGTGCACACATTTAAACGGCTGCATTCTGTTTTCTGTTCTTCTCCGTGTTTTTGTTGTCATTGGGATTCTGTTGAACTACACGTAGCATTGATATAAAGGCCGATATTCTCTTAATAGCGTCATATAGCGGACTCTGTTGCTTCGTCCGCTACTTCCACATCTTTTTTTTTTTTTTTTACGTCACGTCTTACCTCAGGAGAACCCCCCCCGCCCTTCTCCCGCTGTGAAGACGCTGTGCAGATTTTTGGATGCAGGTGCTTCTGACAATCCTCCTTCAGATGTCGTTCATGAGGTCGTTCTCAAGTTGCAAGTCAAACTGTAAACAAAGGTAACAAACAAAAAGGAAGTCCTAGCCGGGCGTCTTTTAACGCGAGCCGCCAGCTACACCTTAATAAGTTGGCCATTTCCTCCCCTCATTGAAAGATGATAACCATCATGATCCAGGACTGATGAGAGCTTTATATCTTCATCTCTATCATGATTGCATCTTTATAGTTATCCTTGATTTGGAAAACTCTTGAAATTTTTACCTTTTGTTTTTTTACTCTGAGTTTTTTAGCGACAAAGTCCACGTAGAGAGAATGAAGAGGTGAAAAGAAGTGGCTAAATTATGGACTTATATTTCTGAGACCTGGCTTTTAAACTTTGTGAAAGAACAACTCACCATTGTCTTGTTCTTTTAGCCTAAACAATGATCTTTTCTTAAAGCTAACCAAGTCATTCTGGTGTCTCTATTGTTCAACAAAGGCTGCTCAGTTTGGTTAAGAGACTAAAACTTCAGGTAATTAAACCCACTTTCATGTTTCAAGAAAGCTTTCATGAGAACTTTTCTTTGGTGATATTTCAAGACTTGAATGTTTAGTCTGTTTTTTCAATCGCAGGCATGGTTTATCTTCTGTTATAAACCTTTTTCTCTTCCTCTGTTTCAGATCAATGGACCCCAGAATCCCTCCCAGTCTTCAGGTCTGTGACAGGAGACCATCAGACCTCCCTGCTGGGTTAGACGAGGGAGCTGTCAGTCGGGCCAAATGGAAGCAGTTTATGGACGTGGTGTTTCCAGTGTGGTCTGAACTCCTAACCTCCGCTTGAAGCTCTGAACCATACTGAGGGAAACTCTCCTTTTGTTCTGCTTCTGCCAAAAGGACAAAATTAACTGCCTCCGCCCACATTTAGCAGCGTGAGGCCCGGCCAGCGGTCACTCTCTCTCACCACTGACGACTATTTGTGGATCTGGTTTGGTTTCTGGATTATGCCTTACACTGGGAGTTCTTATTCTGCAGTTTCCTCAAAAATCCTTAAATATGAAGCGTAATGTCACGTCCGACAGTTTACTCAAAGCCTTTTCCATCGTGTGGTCGTATCAGACGTCCTCGCCCATGTCTCAGAATACTGTCACACTCTTCGTATGCTGGAGGAAGGTGACGTCTGTCTGGAGTCCCGTCTCGTTCTGGACCGCACCACACAGGACGGCATGAAGCACCGGGTGAAGTGAAGAGTAATCCTGAGTTTTTTTACACGAGCTGGAATTTCCCACCTCGTACTTCATTATAACAACCTCTGCTTTCGCATGCACACACATTTGGAAAACCCCCGAGACAAGAATAATTAATGTTTAGAAAAAAACCCTGCTACTTGTGCAACGGCTAATTACATCTAATTTGAGCTAGCTTGGTATCATACAACATTAGATTTTGAAATCACACCAAACAATCAAACAATGTTTCAGTTAAAGGAAGAATGTGCAACTTTTTAAAGCAGTAGAAGTCGCCCTTGAGCACCAGCATGAAACCAAAACAAACTGCTGTTTAGGCCACACCTCCGCTCTCCTGCAGCGACACACCTCCGACTCCTCTCCACTCATGTTCACATGAAGGAGTTATCAATTAGAACACATCATAATTAACCCGCGATTGACAAAATTGTCCTTTGCTCGAGCTGCAATGGCCTGTGTCCTGCATTGTTGTGTTAACAGACTAATGTTAGCGCTCTTTAGTTCGTAGCTTCATATTGCACATTAATTGACACAGAATGAGCGTGATCTAAAAACACTTACATGACATCAAAATAAGCAGTGATTATGTTCTTATTCTTTTCTCTAGTCTTTGACTTAAACAGCTTTTATACACAGGGCCGTCCCCTCCATGTAAACATGATGTAAACACAGTTCTGACAACAACACAGCCAGCGGGACTCGAGCTTCTCACTCATTGTAGACAGTCATGACTCAGAGAGACATTTACACAGGATAGACTTGATTTATGATTTATTTATGTGTAAAATGTTGCACATTCTTCCTTTGAGAGATCTAAAGGAATAGTTTGGAGATTGATACCAGCCTCATATTTGCACGTTAAATGAAAAGCTACTTCTGTGCCACTAAAGTTTGTTTGAGCACAAAGTCTGAAGATGGGATGAACATCAAACTCAAACAGAAACACGTTCTGCTTCGTTCATTTTGCACAAAAACATTAAACTTGTCATTTAGTTAAGTTTAAAGGTGGTTTAAGGTTTATGTTCCTCACTTATAAACAGAAGTTTGAGATCATGATAAATACACAAACGGGACATTTATCCCCTTTAGCTAACATCTTTACCTATCCTTTAAACTCGATATCAACTCAAAGCTTGTTGGTGGATTTAAGTCAATGTGTTGGGAATGAAAAGAAGTGATGCTCTTCTCGTTATCATGCATCTGACATCTTCATCACATCCGTATTCTTTGACTCCACTTTGAGTCTGAACTTTGCCAGCTTCTTCGTTGCCTTTTTCCATGCAGGGATTTTGTAATTTCCCACTTAACGGTGGGTCTTCAAGGCAGCAGGGAATCACATTTTGAACTTTTTCTCACTAATCTTGTAAAATGTAAAGCTTCTATAATCAACAGTCGATCTGGAGGAAATTAATCTTCAGTAATTAATTACACATTTGATTGATTGTTAATCTTTTGGCCCAAAACTGAAACTCGACAATCTGCTACTTTTTTTCTCTTTTTGCATTTTTATTATTTAAGTTCTTTTTGGACGTTTGGTTGCACAGAAAATAGAAAACTTGTCACCAAGATGTTGTTTTTTTTTTTAAACATTATGGGCATTTTTTCATTTCTTCAAACTTGTAGATGAATCAAGATGTATTTACAATAGAACAATCAATCATCTGCCTCGATCATTAAGTCCTCTTTCTGTGGAGGGAGATCTAACAATTGTAAAGTCGGCCTTTATGTCAGGATGAAGGTTTTTGTTTTCTGCAGATGTAACTCACAGCTGTATGACTCAACGAGGCGGTCAGGAGATTATACATCAAACATCAAATAATATTCAAGTGCTGCACTCATGTATTGTCTGTTTGTCTTTTCTGTCTCATGTCAAATGTTACATTTAGTCTTGTCACATTCAGCCGCTTGTTTCCTCTGATATCTTTGGTTAAACTTGCTGTCTCACTCATGAGAAAACTCAAACAGGAAACAATGAAAACTGAAACATCAGTTTTCATTGTTTCCTGTTTGAGTTTTGAGTCATTCCAACCCTCGTAAGAATCAGCTGAATTCTCTTCCCCCCTCATAAAATCCTCTATGAATAAGTCAGTCTTCATTCTTTTTTATAGATGCTAATTACAGACCAACTATTTTCATTAACTGTTAATCTTTTCTGCCTTTTTTTGCAGAAAGATTCCAAACATTGGCTGCTTCCAGCTTCCTAAATGTTGGGGTTTGCAACTTTTCAAATGTTGGTTTGTAAAAAGAAGCTTTTCAAAGCTTTTTACAGGCTCAAAAAAGAACCAACCTTCTTGAACATGTTCTTCAGATTTACAAAAAAATGAAAGCAAAAAGTAATCAATTGTTGCTACGCTTGTCACTTTTGATTTCTTATATCAACAGTTAAACTGCAGATGATTCATAAGTTGCTCAGTTGAAAAAAAGTTAAAAAGACAAGTTTTAAAGATCCTGTGAAGTGTTGCCTTCAAAACACATTTTTAATGAAGCTCTGAAACCGAATACATCGAATAGAGAGAAACCGAAAAAATCCCTTGAGTCCAGAAGATAAAATCTGGAATTGTTTGTATTTGTGTAACAGCTCTAAAGCTGCCTGCAGCATGAGATTTATTTGTTCCTGTTTGTCATGTTAGTCCCTGATTTCCTTTTTGTTTGCACAGTTAGTTTCTTCTTCACCTGTTTTATTCACAATGTAAAAATGTTTGATTTACCTTCATGACGGGGGATTACAAATCAAAACAAACATTCTCTAACATTCCTGTCTTTGTCTAAACTTTAAAGCAGACCTGATCTGACCAATAGGTAACACTATCACAATCATGTCGAGTCACTCTCACCGTGTAGTTCTGTCGTCACCGGGCACGCTGCTGTATTTCCACACACTCTGCACCTCAGTCATCTGCACATCTTTAAATCATTTCAGCTCTTCAGGAGAGAAACGACCTCTCGCTGCTCGTCCTGCTCAAAGCTCAAACATGGACGTCCTAACAGATACATCTTTTATTTAGAAATCCTGATACAGAAGCATGACGGTACGGACCAAACAGACTTTAGCTGGAAACTTCTTAGAGTGTAACTTTCACAATGTTGTGTTTTGTAGATTTGATCGTCTGGGAGACTTGATGAGCCAGTGGTTCAGAGACATTTAATCGATTGTACTCCAAAAAAAAAAGAATAAACAATCAATCAACCTGTACTGGAAATGCAGTCGAGCTGTAAAACTGCCTTTAAGTCTTAATAATAAAAACAGAGGTCCCATCCAGTCAGGTGAACCAATGACAGAGAAGAAATAAAAACACTGATTTTCATCACCACAACATAATAAAGGGCCCTGATGTGCTTACAAAAATAAGATTTAAAGTCTGAAAATGTCGTAAAGATGAATCTGGAGTAAATCTAATGTAACTCTACGATTGTGCTTCCCCTTCGTCTGAACTCTGTCATGAATGTACAGAAATGATGAGCCAAATATTGACATCCTGGAAATGTCTTGTGATGTGATTTCAAAGCGATGACAGGAGGGTCGAGTGTCAGAAACTCCTTCAGGGATTTGTGTTCACACTTCCTCTTCTGTCCGTTTGTTTTTTGATAAACACTGATTCAAATGATTTTTTTGTTCTGTAAAGGTGAAAATGTACAAATAAAAACACATGTATGAAATATTGATTTGGATGTTGAGAGTCTTTAATTTGGGGTCAGAGCCGAAAAGAAATAAACGAGGAGGGGAGAAAAGTTTAATTGGGGAGAGAGGACGGAGGACGGAGGACGGAGGACGGAGTTGGAAATCGGGGCAGGAGAGAGTGAGGAGCCACAGGTCGGAGTGGAACCTGGGCCTCCTGCTGTAAGGACTTCAGCATTTGTATGTGCTCTCTAACCAGCGCACCATTAATTTTGACTTGAATCAAATAAATGAGCTCTAATTAAAAAGTCAACTGGACCGTCATGACATTTGTAACATCAGCCGCAGCACTTTGAATTCTTTGCAGGGATGAATCAAAAACACATGAAGAGTCATATGTTGTGCATTTACGTCGATGTACTTGGAATACTGTGCACATTAACCACGCTGAATTCCAACCATCCAGAAAGGGAAAATGAACGCCATCACTCACAGCTGATAGGTGATGAAAGGAGAACGAAGTTGTGAAATATTTCTGTGTAATGTCAAGCTGAGGAGGCCAACAGAGTCGGCTAAAACATGTTGGAGAACGTAGAGTCTGTGCTGCAGCCAAGCTTCTGTGAAGTGAAAATCTTTCTTAAAATAGAGCGTACATTTGAGGCGTTTTCATGGATCCTCCCGTGGCGTTCAGTTCAAACGGTTCTGGATGACTGTTTTCTGGAAGAAGACTTACAAGCTGAAACCGCCTTCAGCTGCTGTGTTCTGATACGATGAAGTCGGACTAAAAGTAAAAAGGTAATGAAGAAGAACGGAGTGGTAAACATGGCTGTACATCCCTTTCACTACATTATCAAAAAGAAGTAAAGGGTGACTTTCAAATCTGGATCTTTACACTTATTTTTCAAGGTCCCTTATGCAAAATTGTGTATTATGATCAAATCCGACATGTCCGACAAATCCGCATCCATTCCCCACTTTCTCTATTCCCGATTTCCGACTCTATCCACAGTCCTGTCTCTACATTAAAGGCAAAGTAAAGCGGATATTTGCTAAATGTCAGGGTTATGTCAATAATCTCTCTAAATGTCAGGGTTATGTCAATAACCCTGACATGTGTTTTTACGTTTCTAAAATGTAGTCCTACGCCTAGACTTATACCATAACTTATCAAATTCAGAGCCCTTGTGTGCGCTGTCCCTTTAAGAACACAGGAAAGATGGAGACCCATAAGTGGCTGAATCAGAAGATAAACAGCAGGTGTTGCACTCAGAGTGTTTTTCCCCCCACCTGTCTCCCCTTCCCCACACAGAAAACAGCATCATGTTCCAGGAAGTGAAGAAGTGGCTCCGTGCTGATTAAAAACCTTCAACCTGCACATCTGCCCTCAGCTGCACCTCCCGTCTGTTCACCTGCCCACATCCTGCTGACCGCTGAGCCACTCTTTCATCACGTCCCATCCTCGGCTTTTTAATCTCTCTATTTGTTCACGCAGGATTAAAGTAGCGGGCAGGGGGATGAGGGTGGAACGACGCTGCTGTCTCTTCTGTAAATGAAAAGCTGGAGGTGAGTGGAGGAGCAAATCCATCTTTTATGGACCTCCCTCTGTGACAGGCAGGGATTAGCTGGTCACAACAGAGAGGCGGAAAACACAGGAAACCATCAAGGAGGCTTTGGAGAGGGTTCAGATTACACTCTGACAGGTACAAAAAAAAGAGTTGTTTTTGATGCCCTGAAACAATCAAACAAAAGATGAGCTTCATCTACTTCTGCCGATATGATCACTATGAGGATGTTAAAGTTCACCTGCACGACCTTTAACCCACACATCAGCCTCTCAATAGGAGAATCACTGCAGAGCTTAGGACTCTGAAAGACTGAAAA